GTCCCTAGAGCTATTTCTGTGCCCTGGCTGGTGAAGTTAGAAGCTGGGTTGCAGACATACAGATGTCTTGTTGAGAAGTGACAGGAAGGTAAGGAAGAAGAGGCACCAGGGTTCAATTATTCCGTCTGGAGCTTGGCTGTGGAGGGGAAAGGAGGGGATAGAGAGAGCCAGCATTCACACACACGATGCACAGAGCACGCAGTTGCCTAGTGAGAGCACAGAGAGTTGATGGTGGTCATTTGAGGCCCAGGCAAAGTCAGGAGGGAAGGTTCTTTAGAATGTCAGAAATTTGATCATGTTTATAGCCTGAGGAATGGGAGCTGATGGTGAGGGAGAGATTAAATGCCTGTCAGAGTGGATGATTAATGGTCCTCCCCTGAAGCAGCACAGACTCGGTGGGAACTTCCTCAAAGGCAGGACAGAGGTGAGGGAAAGCCTAGGACCATGTGAGTAAGCGTCATTGAGTTACCAGTTAGTGGGAGAAACAGGACCAGAACTCAGAGAACAAAGCTAAACGCTAATGGTTAACCAGGGAGGTAACCTGAGGTTTCATCAAGCTGTGTGAGGATGGCGTGAAGAGTCTAGAGACAGAAATGGTCAACAACAGGAAGGTGAGTCAGATGGGGCAATTCAGGAGCAAACTCTAGAATCACTGTGTTCTCTAACGTATGCTTTTTATGTGCAACCTGGAAACTTACTGGGCTAGGCAACAGGCTAGGCAACAGTTCTTAAAGGGGAAAGAACCTGACAGAGAAGGTGGCCATGTGCAGTTGTGTCAGACTGACCTTGGGAAGGAGACGTGGGCTTGCTTTCTCTCGGATGTGGATTTCAGAGATATTAATGAGAGACAATTCCGGAAAACTATGAAATAGAAAGGATATAATTTCGAGTAATGATCAGATGATTTAAAGAAATCTTTTCAGTAAATCTGTGAGGTTATTTGAGGAGAGCAGAGGGATAGGGTGGCATTTAAGACTTGAGGAGTATGGAAAAGATTTGGAACAATCTCTGAAAGGAACCAGCCAGAGATGGATGCAAGTTTTGCCAGGCGGTATTAGAAGATCAGCTGTAACTAGATAGCGTAAATTTGTATGGAAACCAATTGGCATCATTAAGTGACTTTTACCAGCAATTCTCGGGCCATGGGGAGTAGAAACATAGGGAAAAGACTGAGGTTTGGCATGGATTGGGCTCTGGTAAAACAAATGCACTTTAGGTCTAGGGCAGGGATGAGTTGGATGAGGGATTTTCTGGTGCAGATATGATACAATTGAAATGACTAACCTCGAGGTATTGAGTGGATAAGGAGGCAAATATTGCTTAAAGGAAGTTGATAAACTAGGAAAATAGGGGTTTATTAAGTAACTAGTGACCACAGAAGAAGAAATTAAAGATTATTTGAGTGAGTAAACGGGACAGTTGAAAAGTGAGAGGATTGTGGCCAGAGGAGAGAATTTGAGTGGAAGATTTTAGAAGAGCAAATGCATTCTGGATAAAGATGAGGGCCACGTTATGGCCATCCTGTGAAGAAGCTGAAATGAAGTAGAAGCAAAGCCTGTTGGTGGTGAGGTCAAGAAACATGAAGCCAGAGTGGATACTGAGTGAAACATTGATTAACAAGGATGTTGAAGCTACTGAGGAGATGGAATGCACCCAAAGTAAGAAGAGAATCTGTTGACCAAAAGACAAAAGCCTCAAGGAAAGTGGGAGACTGTCTTGAGTTCTGGATATTCGGGGAGAGTGTGATATAACTGAATGAGGAGGGCAGACGTAGACGATCAATAGGGACAAATAATGGTCTGGAAGCAATCTTGAAACAGGGAGAAAGGTGTTCTGTAGTAAGTTGTTGTTGGAGTAAGTTGGGTTGTTGGAGCAGAGTGATCTCCACTTGAGATGACTGAGAAGGATGTGTTGTATCATACAAAAGTCAAAATTCAGTTTATGCTGGAATTAGAAGGAGCAGTTGAGAATGTAGGGTAGTTAAATCCCACTAGGACACATATGATAGAGGTTACAGTACATAATACTGGCTGGAGGCCATGCCAGGCCTGGGGATGGGAAAGTGGAACTGGACTGGCGTAATCTTGTTGATGGCTGGTTTTGAGTTCAGGGAGTAGGACAGTACTTATTAATGACAAGGATGAGGGGTAATGATAATGAAATGTAAAGGCACATGCTAATAGATATAAGCTAGGAGAAAGTAGGTAAAAGTTTTGTTATCGGTGGACTATATGAAATTAAGCTTAAAACTTTGGTGTGTCCAACTGGAATGTCCACTTGGAATATTAGTGTAACCAATTGGAACCCTGGCATGACCGATTGGAATGGCTATTGGAACTTTAGTGCAACCAAGTAGAATATTATCCTGGTCAGCTGCAACATGGTGTGATCAATTATAGCCCAGCAGTTAAAGCAGCTAGAGGGGTTTTGGCAATAGTGGAAGTTGAGTAGATTCTTAGCTTTCAGGAGGGATAGATTCTGAGGCTTTTTTGAACCCCATGAAGGCAGTGACTTGAATGCTGGTCTGTAGACAAACTGCATGAATATTGTCTTAAGATACTCAGGCACTCAACAGGGGCTGTGTTTTTGTCATATCCCTAGGCCTTGGCATCTGGTAGATATTTAAAACATATTTGTTGAATAAATGATTGAAGTCTCATGCAAGCATATCTTCTCAGTTCTCAGTACTCCAAAGCAATTGTTATTATCTCATGGACCTTGATTTGTAGAATTGCTCCTTTTTCCCTTTGCACTGGTGGCTGGGAAGCTCGCATACACATTGTAGTCTATCTCTAGCTGTGTATAGAACTTTAGGGTGTGAGTTTTATACCAACTGAACTTTGGCTTCAACTTCTTTTCCTACCTGCTTTAGTTTTTATGATTTGTTTTTTAGCTTGAATTGTCTATTTTGCAAACTGCCTCCTCAGATCATTTTTGGAACAAAGCAGGTAGATGAAAGGATGGAGAGATAAACATAGAATGAAGTGGTGGAGGCAGAGAGGAAGGTGGGGAAGAGGAAGAAGGCGGTGGGAATGAGTGGGTGGTATCAGGGATTATATCTTAAGATACTCAAGACCCAGAAATTATCTTCTTCACCCAAGGAAGAACATTTTAGGGTCTTTTATAATCTGCATAGCCTTAGGACCAGGCCCTAGTAGATAGTATGTGCTCAACAAAATCTTGATCATTTGAGTGGCTATTTCCTGGGCCCAGTGAGTATTTGTTCATTGGCTTTTCTTGGCGTGTATTTTTGATTACCCTTAAAGTTGGGACTTCTTCCTCTGTTTGGAAAACAATGTGATGCATTAGACAGAAATGAGTTTTGGAATCAAACAAAGCTTGGTTTGAAAACTAACTCTGCTGTTGACTGACATGTGTCTGTGGCCAAGACAGGCTAATCTCTGTGTCTGTTTCCTCATTTGTAAAATCGAGAAGAACTATTTCCTATCGAATCACTGAGTGGGTTTATTCACAGGATGTAGGTAAAATACCCCACAGTGTCTGGCACTGAGGAGGCGCTCGGTGAATTGATGTCCTCCCCTCTCCATTATATTGGACACACTTATCTGGCTGACTCCTCGTGACCAAGTAGCCCACAGTTCTGGCTGGCAATGCTGCTGCCTCTGCTCTTTATGCCAGCTTCAAGTCTGCCTGGCCCAGGAAGAGCTGTCCTCCTCAGCCCAGTGCTCAGTGAGCTCATTTTGCTGAACTGGTGACTTCTAGATACTCATCCCCTCAGATTAGCAGATGGACGGTGTGTAGCCTGGATTTCTGAGGTACTGAGGGTCTTTGGCCTGGGGAATCATGTATTCCAAGTTAAAATCTCTGTCCTACTTGGTTTGGTTTATGATCTGAAGACTGCTCAGAATATGTGAAATCACAGCTATTGGGTCAGAATGTTGAGACCACCACTCTTGTGCTAGGGTTGGGTTGCCCAAGATGGTACAGAATGTTCAGACCATGGCAGGATATTGTATCTTTTCTATCTGCTCATTTGCCTGATTACTCTCCCAGTTGCCATATTATAGTCTCTTTGCTAGGATCTGTGTATCCAGTGTCTACCATGTGTCAGGATTTTGGAGCTCATGGAACATTGCCTTTTGCCAATGGAGAAACGTTGCCCCTGGACTTTGGGAAATGCTCCTGGTTTCTGAGGTCTTTCATAATTCCTGGTAGTTCTGAGCAGGTGTTTTGCCTTTCACCTTTATTTTTTGTCTTATTAAGTGTATATATTAATGGCAGGTTGTGGTCTACTACTGTTCAAGTGGTGGCAGGACTACTAATGACCTCTCCTGGTCCGTCCTCACAGTAAGGAAAGAATAATTTCTTGCTTACATCCCATAGTGGCCGGGAAAGATCCATATCACATAAACAGAATTCTAATATAATCATTCAGTAAATACTCATTGCATATCTACTGTATGCTCCAGCTCCCTTCTGGGTTCATTGCAGTGAGGTCTTACACTGGGATGTGTTGAAGACTGGGCTGAGCACTGATTTAGCCCAGGAGGTGATATGGAAATTTTGGTTTTGAAAAATATATTGTTAACATAACATGTAATATAAGATATATATTATGTTATGTTAACATAATATGCTGTTAACATAAGCTTGTTTTTTTGTTTGTTCTGGTGGAGAGCACCTGCTGCTTTGCCTTAAAAATAGAGATGGAGAAATTTAGCTCTTTGACTAGACCCCTCCATTTTTCTCTGCTAGGAAATAAAGAATAATGGTTTCTATGGACAAATGTGTTTTTTGAGAAATGTAGCTCCCATTGTCTCTCAGAGCACAGTGGATAGTAGCAGGGGCTGTGCTACCCATGAGTGACCCAGTATCAGCCCAGGCCTGTCCCTAATAGCCTTGTGGCTCATATGCAGCAATCTCAACTCTGTGTTGTCCAACACACAACTTAGAGATTGCCTTAGGCTGTGTGGCTGGAGCTAGCATTGTCCTTGTTGCCATGGAGGTTTATGACTTTGATATCTGTTTTTTGCTTGCAGGAGCTGCTAAGTCGTACATCTCTTGAGACCCAGAAGCTTGATCTGATGACTGAAGTGTCTGAGCTGAAGCTCAAGCTAGTTGGCATGGAGAAGGAACAGAGAGAGCAGGAGGAGAAGCAGAGAAAGGCAGAGGTGAGTGTGATGTACCAAATTCTCCAGGGACCCATACTATACTAAGCTGAGACCAGGCAACACTCCCCTAATGTGGACGTGGGCCATCTGGTCAACGCTAAGCCTGGCAACTGCTGGGTGCCAGAAACATGTAGTAGAGATGCAATGATCTGTTAATACCAAGTTATCAGGTTTTGCTGTGGCTGCAGATTTCAGCAGTACCCAAACCACCCAGTTTTGGCTCTAAAGCTTTATCCTCCCTCAAGCTGCTGACAAGGATAGAAAGAGAATCAGTAGTGGGGGAAGCATCAGACAAGATGTGGAGGGACACAAGATGTCTTCCGTGAGAGCCAAGGTAAGGACGGTGTACTTGGATGAAGTCAGCTGCCCAGCAGGCCACTGCCACTATATCCAAGGAGTTTGGAGACATTCTTTGATATGCATTTCGTTGACCCAGATGGAACCCTTAGATGATGTGTTTCTTTTCTCCTGATAGGCCATATGGTTGAGCCCATGCACAGGCCTTCTCTAAGAGAATGTTTTCCTATATCGTTTTTGTTTTCAGGTTCCATATGCCCTTCCATCTGTCTAGAGCATGCCAGACTTCTTTTTTGGATAAATATTTGGATGAATTTTAGGCTCAGAGGTCCCTTATTTGAGAGAGAACTCCCTGCTTTAACCTTAGATAGCCACCTTCCGTGTGCCTCTACCTACAAGTCCCTGTATTCGCACCTGGCCATGTGAGATGTGGAAAGAAGATAGGCTTTAGGGTGACAAACAGCTTTGCTCAATTATTGACCTAACTGCTTAATAGCTCTTTGAACTTTAACAAGTTAGCTACTTAATCTCTTTGGACTTCAATTTCTTTCTCTATAAAATGGGTAACTGTGTGGTAGAGTCCAAATAAAATTCAAAAGTTAAGTCCCTATCATAGTATCTGCATTTGGTAGGTACTTGGTTTATCTTCATTCCCTTCCTCCATTTAGGCATCTTCAAAATCTAAAGATGGGTATTGTTTCTTTCTATTAAGTGCTAACGTTGTGTACTGAAACCTATCATATTTCTGTGTTTACTGGGTAAACACTGGTGATTGAGGCATTTTTAATGTGTAGGCCATATGCCTTGCATTACTTTTGAGAACATGTTCATTAGTGAGAAGTATCGTTGCCAAAAGAAAGTATCTCCATTAAACAGAGGACAATATCATCTAGTTATTAAGAGTGCAGGCTCTTGAATCAGATTTCCTGGCTGTAATCCAAGCTCAGCTACCCAGTAGCTTTGTGATCTTAGGCAAATAATTTAACCTCCCAGACCTCTGTTTCTTCTTCTGTAAAATGGAGATAGTAATACTTTCTTGTTAAGCATGCTGGAAATGGAAATGTAGACTTACATACATTATTTGCATATAGCAAAGGTCATGCAGACTGAAAACTTATCTGTGTGAAGTATTAGTTGAATAGACTCTGCTTATTAAATGTTGAGAAAGAAGCAATTGAATTTTCTCCAGGTTTAGAGTTACTTTACCAATGTTTTAAGATGTGTGATTACATGTGAACATACATTAAGGCTTTGTGGGCAGAATTCAGTAAACTCTGTGAGAAGGCTTAAAGTGATAGTGACAACACAAAACCACTTAAATTAAAAGAAAAAAAAAAGGATCGAGGGTTATTAGATCACACAACTTGAATAATCCAGGATTTTGAAAGTCCAGTATTACTAGATCCAGGTGACCTCACGATGTCATTAGAAATCAGCCTCAGTGTATCACTTGGTTCTGTTTTAGACTTATTCTCAGGAAGGTTCTCCCCTTTGGTGACAGAGATGGCCATTAGCTTTAGATTTTACCAGCCTGGCAACCCTTGCAGAGAGATAGAGTTTCTCTTTCTCAAAGATTCCAGAAAAATCCCCAGGGTTGTGTCTGATTGGGCCAATTTGGGTCATGTGCCTGGTTCTGAACCAGTCACTATAGGGAGCATGGACCACACATGTGGGTGTGTGAGTGTGAAAGTCAATCCATCTGTGGAAGAGAGCAGCGTTAGTACCAAGCTGGGGCAGCTCAGTTTCTTTCTAGGAAAGATGAGAAGGAAGGACAGCTCCCACTTCTGGGCCAAGTATAGCTAAAGCAGTCATTTTGCTGTTTGCTTTATTTCTGTCTTTTCTGAAGGATTGTTTTTCAATCTGAGTTTTTGGTTTTTGTTTTCCATTAGGCTGTTCATGCATGAGGCAACATGGACCCTGAGCTGCTAGCCTCAGTCCTACCAGATAACAGCCCTTCCCAGTTGCTAATACAAACATTAGGTTTCCATGCAGAGGAATTTTTTAGACTGTTCAAACCTGTGATAATCAGTGAACAGCCACATGACCTGAAACAAATTTCTCGTGCTTGTAATTGAACATAATCTTTGCTGGTATGCCCAGAGCCTCCACCACCGTTTGTAACTATCTGGAGCAGCAGAGGCTTAAAACCACGCAGAGTGCTGCTTAAGCTGCACTTTTCTCACGTGCACAGAGATGTTTATTTTGAGGGAGACATTTAGCTAGCTAAGGTCACTAGAGGTTGTAGCTCCATGAATAAAGGGAATGCTGCCTCTACACTGCTCCTGGTTTTTCTAGTGAATGTGTTTAGCCTGAGGCCTGATTCCTTGTGGTTTGGAAAAGGCAGGACCTGTTTTGTTTTTTTTTTAAGGTAGGCAAATCTGAAATAAACTTCCTCCATGTAGCTCAGGCTTTATCCTCAAATTCCATTTTATGTTTCAATAAAAAAAGGATGCTGTTAAGAGCATGCAGACTGCTCTTTCTGTCTGGTTCTGATCTCAGGCTAAGCCAATCTCCTGCTGCTTGTTCTAAGTTGTGGAAGTGATTACGGATGGTTGTCTATAAACCTGAGGACTTTAACGTGCAGATTTCTTGTCAAATAGAGACAATCCTGACAGCCAGCCTTGCTCAGGAGTCAGTTAGTGGCACCCAAATGAGATATGGTGAATACTGGATTTCCTATTTACCTTTCTCTTGTGAGTGTTTTGCAGTGGTTCTGGGTCATTTCAGGGGACCCAAGAGTGGTTCACTTAGGTTTACTACTGAAAAGCAGGACTGCAGAAGAGTGACTGACATGGAAAGTAAATACCAGAATTAGGAGGATAGAACATGAAAGAAAGAGATCCAGAGGCAAAGGAAAACTTCTGAGTGGTGTGCCATATCAAAGGTGTGTCCCTAGGAGGGCTCTTCCTTGGTGAAGGGAGTCTGGCTTCCCTGAGCGCCGGGAATGCAGCAAAGCCTGTGACAGGATCCCTTTGTGAGATCCAAAGGGTTCGGCACGCACGCACGTAGCACCAGAGCAGCCTGTAAAGAGACAGCAACGATCCAGCATGTGCTGGGAAGTGAAGTCAGCCTAATTGATCAGGGAAATACACAAACATGAAGAGAACCAGAAAGAATCTTTAGGATTTTCTGGTAGAAAATATCTTAGAGCTCGGGTAGTGTTATCATCCCTTCTTTCTTCCAATTGTTAGGGAAGAATTGGAAGGGAGGGATTCTGATTTCTGAACCGGGGCGACCAGAACGATAAACTTGGAGTACAGACCAAGGGCTGGAAAGATTGTATTTGCTCAGAGGAGAGCTGGCCTGACTAGGGGAGTTTTTATATTTTGTGTTCTTATTTTATTTTATTTATTCATTTTTATTAGCATAGGAAGTATACTTCAACAATTCAAAAATCAAGAGTTCTAAAAGGTGTATACAGCAGAGTCTCCTTCCACGCCTGTCCCCCAGCCAGCAATCAGGAACGAATGTTATCAGTTTTTGTATCCTTCTAGAGGTATCTTATGCATGGACAAGCAAATTTTATGTGGAGACACATGCACGCGCGTGCGCGCATACACACACATAAGTATTCTTTCCCCCATTTTTGCACAAATGCACACTATTCTAGACCTTTTCTTTTTTTCAACTTAGCAGTCTTGGAAGTTGTTTCATACCAATTACATTAAAAAAGCCTCCTCATTTGTATTTATGTCTGCGTATTATTCCACTCTCTGACTATGCCCTTATTTAACCAGTCCTCTTTTGATGGGCATTTAAGTTGTTTCCAAGTGTTTACTATTACAAATAATGCTGCTTGAATAATCTTGTACATGTGTGAGGATATTGAAGTGGAATTGATGGATCAAGGGTACATGCACTTGAAATTTTGATAGATATTTCCAAATTGTCCTATGGAATATAGAGGTTATAGTCTCACCCGCAATGTGTAAGAGTGCAAGGACAGTGTCAAACTGAGCATGAAGGAAGAGGGAGAGAAAGAACTAAGTAAAATTGTGAACAATTTTAACAGGTATGTGGGGTGGGAAAGACTGTGACTATGGGAGATGCCCAGAAGTTTCACATAGCAAAGAACCATAAAAAAGAACTGTGAAGGTCGGCAAAACAGGAGTAATAAACAAAGCAGGCTGAGATTACAACACAGAACAGCAATTAGAACTTCATAAATGTCACCTGGACTTCATGGTGTGGCACCCAAGAATGGAACACAGCTGCAAAAGGCTCTGCCCATAAGAGAAACAGCCCTGTTAAGAGGGGAGATGGGCTAGCCCTGGAGAAAAAGAATTACAAAAGTAAGTTGAAATGCTGAGCCTGAGGATAGACAGACTGGAAAATACCATCACCACATGTATAGGGAGAATTAGAGGAGAGTGTCCCCGAAATGTAGGGATGCACCACATAGTCACACTGAGCAGAGGAGGAAAATAGATGAGCTCCTGATACAGGTCCCCAGATTGACTGGGGCAGACAAGGGGCAGCAAGAGAGGGGAGCAGCAATTTGGATAGCTCCTAAAAATCTCCCCCACCCCACTCCCCACTTGTTATAGCTTCTAGCGAGAGGGTAGAGAAAGAAACTGAGAAAAATGCCACTGTAGCTCTAATGGTGAAGCAAAGGGAGAAACTGGTTTATGAAGTAAAAGTGATGGGTCCCTTGAAGAGGGTGGTTATTGTTGTTTGAGAGTTCATGAAAGTGAGGGAGGGGAGAGTTCATAGACACGCACTGTAGACTTTGGTAAATCATGACTTTGAAAGTTCAGAAATAAAACAGAAGATGACTCATGAATATTGAACTACTTAACAATATAAGTCTGACTGTACAGTTTCACGAATAATACCAGTAAAAAGGAAGAGCTTAGAGGTACCTTGAGAGAAACTAGTTTTCAAAGGGGCTTGTACAAAAGATAGAAAGAACAAATAAAAATGCACCTGCATGAACAGCATCAGGAAGGGCAAACCCCAAACAAAAGGACACACTAAGGACAATAGAAAGACTTTTTAGAAAGTTACGTTCTCAATAAGAAGATCAAAGAAAGAATGGGCTCAATTCCACTGATGCCTCTGATAGGCGCAAAGAAGTTAGGACAGCAGTCTCCAAACTTCTTGCTGTAAGTGAATTTTAATGAATCAGGAAAATTCTAGCAAGTGAGTTGCTAGAAAACTGGAAAGTGAACCATTTTCTTCTTCTTTTTTTTTTTTTTTCCAAAATGGGAAAGAAAGATGGATTCTATAATATTTAGTCTGTTGAGTTTGGGGTCAGCCCTATGATGGTTTGTGAGAAGCTGGAAGGCAAAGTAGGGATCCGTGTCCATTAAGAGTGAGTTATGTCACATTGACCTCATTGGTTTGGCCAGGAATACGTCTCGTCATGGTAGACTGGTAAACCTGCACTTTAGCGAGGCATTGTAAAAATGTTGCTTGGATAGTCTTGTGGATAAGATGGAGGAATATAGGATGAATGCTAAAATGGGTATATCGGTACCTAAATGATAAAGAATAGTTCCTAAGGACTAACTCTAGGAAGATTTTTTTGTAGAAGGCAGCAGTAATCTGCTCTTAGCCCTCCTGCCTGTTTAGCATAGTTAGTCCCTAATTTGGATGCTGATATAGAAGGCCTTGACGTTGTGATAACAGGAAGCCAAATAAAAACTATATGGATCAGTTGACATTGGAATGGATAGAAACCTACACAGACTGGAGTGATACATAGGATATTAGAAAGAGTGAAAGAGCCATCAGAAGAACCTGAATAGTGCAAAATTGCTGAAGGTGAGGAATGAAACACTTCAAGAAGGAGCCAAGCAGTTTGAGGACAGAGAACTTACCTGTGATTTGGCCAGGGGCGGGGCACAGAGGAGGAATGGTACCCTCGTATGGTGGAGACAGAGCTTTCTTCCTGGAGATCGAGGGCAGGGAACGAGGTGGTGAAAATCAGGGATGGCAGGTCTAGACTCTTCATTTGAGAGGTTTAAGGATGGAGGGAACAAGAGAAGGGAGAGGGCAGTGAAGTTCTAGAAACTTACGTAGGAGAGAAGAGCAGGCCTGAAGACAGGCAGGGCCAGTGGGGTTGGAGAGACTAGGGATTCAGGAAAAGAGCAACCAATAAGAGCATGCCAGGGCTGTGCGGAGGGGCTGGGCTTTTGTTGTCAGTGATCAACGTCACATAGGCCTTAACTGTGCCCCGTGAGCTTCAGATGTTTTCTGTGGTTCTTCCACTTTCTTTTATTTCTTATGAAGCAAACACTTGATGGCAAAAGGAGAAGCAGTGCAGGAAAGTGAACTCACATTATGGGATGCCTCCTGTGTGCCAGGCACCCCACCAGGGGCTTTACCTGAGTCTCGCTTGATTTAATCCTCCCAAGAACCCTGTGAGGTAGTGAGACCCTCATTCTACTAATTTGAAAATCAAGTTTTGAAAAAGTTTCATAATTTGTCCAAGGTCACATACGAAAAATTGAAGGACTGGAATGAAACCCAGCAGCTGGACGAGTCTGAAGCCTATGCGCTTTTCCCTGTATCATGCTGTCGCCCATTATAGCTTAGATGCCTCTAACAGGCCGTCTCCCTCTTTGGGGAGATGATGGTCAGTTGTTACCTTGAGGAATTGCTTTTGACTCCATCCTTGATTAACCCACCATCCTTTTGCCCCAGGTTCTTGGTTGGAAGGTTAGATGTAAAAAAAAAAATTACCTTTGTTCTAATTGACTTCCAGCCTAGGCTGCATCCTCCCCTCCCCTTCATATTGCTTTTCTCCACCCTAACTTTCCTCTTTTCATGTCTTACCGTCAGTCATGGCTCACAGTCACTATTCTAAATCTGTACCTGCTTTTGCCTCACTGGTGTGTCATTTTCCCAGGCAACCTTGTCTCTTCCCTTACATAGAAGATCAAGCCCATTAGGGAGGATCTCCCTCAACTTCCTGTTTCTCATCTAGAAACCTACCTGGACCGCAATTTGCTTTCACTTCTGTGCTTAGCTGATCCCTCCACCTGAGGCTGCTGATTCCAGCTCTCTCCTCCCTCTTTAATTCCTTCTTCTCCAGCTTCTCAGTCCTCGTCAGTATTCCTAGGGACCTACTTGCTAAACAATTAAAGCACTAAAAGACTTTGAGTCTTCTCAGAAGAAAAAGCATGAACAAACTAAATGTAGTTGGTCTTTTTCTCATGTGGCATCCCCCAGTGATGGCCAAGCCAGGAGCAGCAGAGATAGAGCTAGGCTGTGACTCCTAGTGCCTGGGGCCAGTCAGGCAGGAACCCTTTACCCTTGTCAGCATCTGAGCTAAGCCAGCCAGGGATTCACAATCCAGAGGGACACAGCAAAGGCCAAGTCAGAGCCCAGGGTCTGTACTGGGACTGCTGGTGAGAACCCAGAGGACCGGTATGGTCCCAGTCCATTGGTCAGTGTCCCATCAGGGTTCAGGACCAGGAGCAGTGCAGCTGGGTGAAGATCTGAGGTCCAGGGCACTTACTCAGGCTCACAAGAATCACCTTGATTTCTCAAACCAATCCTCTGGTCTCAGTAGAGAAATACCTTGTTAGCAGATGACCCTGGGGGAAGACAACCTGGGGCTGTCTGTGGGCTAACTCATGTGAGCCAGCTCAAGGGGAGAGTGGCTGAAAGGCCAGGGACCTGCTAATGACAGCAATGACTGCATAGCGGCTATCCCACTCTGAATGGTGTCACCAGAAAGGAGAGCAGACTGGCATGCGGGCCTTATCCCAGTGCCCTTTTAGCCCCAAGCTGCCATGCAGACTCTCAATTTCCCTTCTACATTGGAAAAGGAGGTTCACAAAACATCAAGACATGGGGTAGGACCTTTTCTTCTTTTAGACAGCACTGTCACTATTGGGGGTAGAAACCTCTTTCTAGCATGCCTGGGTGGTTCCCATGGTACCAGTGGGCAGACCTCTCAGTCTGAGATGCAGAGCTTAGAGTATCAGTAAAGGTGGGCAGGGAGGGGCTAAAGAGTTTAATTGGCTGCCACCCCACCCAGCCATGGCTCTGTTCTGCTCTATTGCCAACTGCCCCCTTAAAGTCATATCACTGCCGCACAGGCTGCCCATGGTCTTCCCCAGCCTCTGAGGTTCCTTGCTGCCATGAGTAGCACCATCATGTACCCTGTTACCCAGGCCCATGACTCTTCATCTCCTTTATTCCCACACCCAGGCAGGGGGTCTAGAATGTGCCTACTTGACATCACTTAGACTCACCCCCTCCCTTCCTCTTGACCCAGGCAGAATGTCACTCACTGCTCCCTGAGAGCACTGTGGTATTCTTGGCTGTAGCACTTCCACCTTGTTGTGGTTATTTGTGTGTCTCTCCTCACTCACCAGTGAAAGCCATTGGGTCTCTGCAGAGGGACACTAAGTGTCTATGGAGTAGACAAAGGAAAGCCCAGTAGAGCTGCTAGTGAAAGGAACTCAGAATTGAGGAAGTATGAATTCCAAGAGTTGCAGTTATTTTTCAAAGTTGCCATAAAAGGTCAAAATGTTCTTGAGGCTACAAAGAAGTCAGGTTTGGAGGGGGAAGTGAAGGAGTCAGGTTTGTTATAGGGTGTGAGGGAGAGTTTGGGGTTGGGGATATATTAGCATGCATGAGCGTGGTGTATGTCACCTGTGTGTGGATGTTGACATGTTTAGGGTGGAGTTGGCATGTGTAGCATGGGCGTATGTGTAGAGGGGATGTGTCCATCTGTGCACCCATCTCTGCTATTGCTAGACTCCATGCCTCAGAGATTGACATGAGGGACGATCCCCCAGGATGGCATAAAGGAGCTGCTGGGGGTTTGTTCAAACTACAAGACAGGCCTATGGATGGGGCAGGCCTCAGGAAAAATGCCATGGCTTTTGTTTCCTGTGAAGAAACCAGGTGGTCATGGACAGTGACTGTAGGGTGCCACCTGTCGCTCATTCTCTGCACACTTCCTCCCCTCCATGCTACTCTCCTAAGGAGTTCTGTGTCGGAGAGCTGACTGACCCTGAATGCTTTTTTTCTCCTTTCTCTCCTTCCTACAGTCGGTTCTGAATGTGATCAGTGAGCTGCAGGAGCAGATGTGTAGGCTGCAGCTGGACATCCACAGGCAGATTCAAGAGCGCTTCTTACTCAGTAGGGACAACCCTGAGGAGGTGGTGGCTGGTGATGGTGCGGCCGAGCCCCAGCCCTGCAGCCAGGACAATGCCTGTGGGGAGGGGTCACCTGTAGGAGCCACACTTAAGTATATCAGAGCATGTGTGTGGGGCATTTAACTGGTGGAGGGGCTGGGGTTTCTCCTAACCAGAACAGAGTGCCGTGGCTTAACATGGATCTGTTGTTACCTCTGGGCACAGCTTGGGACTCACCCTCTCAGGACGTGAGCTGAGCTCTCTGACCCTCACGAGCCAAGTCTGAGCAAATGAGGCCAACACTCGGATAGGCGGCAGCTCTCATCTCACTCTGGGCTGGGAGTGAGGTTGTCAGGTGCCCTGAGTGATGGGCATTTATACAAAAGGAAGCCTCAGAATTCCCCATCCTATGTACAATTCAGACACTGATTCTTCTCCCTGAGCTGGGAGATTAAATGAAGTTTCATGTCACGTGATTTTTTTTTTAAAGAAAAAAATAGCATCATGAAAGAATTCTTTCAAATTTATTTTTAAAGAGGTTTATTTCTGGTGAGAAAATAGAACACAAGTTTCCATTTGCTGTGACAATTAAGTCATCTTCTGAATTTCCATGAAAAATTCCCCTACATAAACATGCTAGAGGGATTTCATGACCTCTGGGCCTTGTGGGCTATATCTGACTAGGATTCTGGACTTGTCCCCTCACACTGGTGTGACTGGGTCCTGTGTGACCTGGTTGAGGCCTGGTGATGGTAGCTACACAGACATGAGCCTGCGCCTCCAAGGCCCGCCATCGAACAGGACTTAGAAGCCCAAGGGAAGGTCAATGTCATGGTAGCCATGAGCACTGCAGAGGGTCTGCCTTGGTTCTGTCGGAAGTTACCACGATCCAAACTCAACTATAGAACATGTTGAAGATCTCTACCCAGACTTAGGCATTAGGGGAGGGGCTCAGTGGGGAAAATTTCTGTCTACGTTAAAGGATAAGGGGAATAAGTGAGAGTCAAGATATAAGTGTAGATTTGGATAGGAAACTCCTGAGAGGGTGCTGGAGTGTGCCCCATGTTGAGTGGGGTAACCTAGAAAGACTGCTAAAAGTGAAAATTTACACCAGTTTTTAGAGCTGATGATGGACAACAAACAGCTTAGGAGGAGAACGTGCCAAAGAGGTCACAAGACCCTGGAGATCATCAGGCTCTGTGTCCCCATAGTGGCAGCCCCTTGGGCAATAACCTGCACATTTCCGGTCCTGCCCTCAGCAGACCTGGCGCTCCCTTAGGCAGGGCCAGAAATGTTCTCAGAAAGTGACCTTGGATCTGCTGCAGGTCACAACAGGCCTTAGAGTCTAATGCTGCGGATCTTGGATGCAATAACCTTAGCTTAGAAGACATTTTTTTTTTTTTAAAGATTTTATTTTTTCTCCCCAAAGCTCCCTGGTACATAGTTCTATATTCTTTGTTGTGGGTCCTTCTAGTTGTGGCATGTGGGATGCTGCCTCAGCGTGGTTTGATGAGCAGTGCCATGTCCGCGCCCAGGATTCGAACCAACGAAACACTGGGCCGCCTGCAGCGGAGCACCCGAACTTAACTACTCGGCCACGGGGCCAGCCCCTAGAAGACATTTTTTTAAAAGGGCATCAACAAATACTGACCTCAGCTGTAAGAAAATATTAATATATCACCTTACAAAATTCAGTTGTAAGCAGCGTAACTTCCTGATGGATTGTCTCAGAATGCAAAGACTCCAGGCATGTTAAATGATGACCTGAATTTCATGTGTGCATTCATCAAGAAATAATGCAGACCTACTAGCTAGAAGTTAGCAAAACGGACTTGGAGTTAGCAAAACTCCTCACGGAATTTACAATATAGGAGGAGAACTAGCCACTGGCAGTCATACTAGTTAACGTTTAATTGCAAATGATGTAGAAGATATACAGGATGCCACGAGAGAGTATAGCAGGGGAGCTTGATGGAATGTGGAGGTGGGGATAGCTTTGCTCAGGGGAGGCCTGAAGGATGGGCAGGAATAAACCTGCAGACGGTTCCAGACAGAGGGAGTGGCAATTGTAAGGGCCTAAAAAGTATCCGGTGTGGTTCGAGCATAACCAGGGAGAGATAGTAATACAAGAGGCAGGCACTGGGGCCGGCCTGGTGGCATAGCGGTTATGTGCGCATGTTCCGCTTCTCGCGGCCCGGGGTTCACTAGTTCGGATCCCGGGTGCGGACATGGCACCGCTCGGCATGCCATGCTGTGGTAGGCATCCCACATATAAAGTAGAGGAAGATGGGCATGGACGTTAGCTCAGGGCCAGGCTTCCTCAGCAAAAAGAGGAGGATTGGCAGCAGTTAGCTCAGGGCTAATCTTCCTCAAAAAAAAAAAGACAAGAGGCAGGCAGGGCCTGAGTCAGCCCAGGCTGTGTTGGTCCTGAGTTCAAGTTTATGAGCTTTGAGGAGCAGGGAAGTGCTGGGATCAGATCTGTGTTTTAATTGTATTGTCCCCTGGATGCTGTGGTGGTCAGTGGATTCAAGAAGGGCAAGACGATAAAGGAGCATCCAATGAAGAGACCATTCAGGCTATCAACACTAACTGCTAGATCAGAGAAGTGGTGGTAGAGTTGGAGAGAAATGGAGATTCAAGTTATTTCCTTGGAGGTAGAATTAACAAGGCTTGGGGATGAATTGTGTATGTAGGGGAAAGAGAAGGAGATGTCAGCGGTGGATCCCAGGTTTCTGGCACAGGTGATGAGGCGGATGGAGATGCCACTTAGTGGAACAGGGATGTCTAAGAGGGGGAATTAAGAGTTGCACTGGCCATGACAGTTGTGAGATGCCTATGTGCCATCCACGTGGAGATCTTAAGTAGGGAGTTTGTTATATGAGTCTAGAGTTCAGAAAGTCTATGGAACTAATCACTTTTATGCTAATTCTTTTCTGGTAGGAACCAGTTAGCAAGACCAATTGTCCGTTAAAGGAATCTTGGTTTGGGACAAGGGTGCTTAGTGGTTTTGTCTTTACTGAAGGGGTAGTTTAGAAAGCAGGGGCCCTGGAGTCAGAAGAAATGGGCCTGAATTCCAGCTTCACCCTGGGCAAGTTGTTTAAATATCACTTCCCAACTCAGCAACCTTCAGTGCTCCCTACCGTCCAAAGAATGGCAGCAGAACTCCTGATGTTCTCCTCTAAAAGCCTTTTCAGTAGGGCCCCTCTTCCTCCCAGCCGCATATCCCACCACATGCCATTCATCCTCTGCTCCAGCCCGACAGCCTATTCCCTTTGGCCCCTGCCTCTGCCGTCTCCCTGGATGCCTGCTCCCTCCCTCCTTACTTCAAACCAACCCCCTCCCCTGAATGGAACTCCCAGACTGGCCTCTGCATTTGATACTTGGCATTTCTTCCCTTCCTGTTTTCTTTCTTTCCTGCTGGCTGTCACTTCCTCTGTGAAGCTTTCCAGGATCATGGACCCTCTTTAGGTTCCTTGACCCCCAGCACAGAGAGATGCTCCCAACTAGCCTCTTCTGCTGCTTTGTAAGAAACTGCCTCCTTTAGCATCTCTGTTCCTCCAGATCCCAAGTCTTGTCTGTCCTGCCCCCTACACATATGTGCATGATTTGGGCACACCCTGCAGAGGAGGTAGATGTCAGAGATGGGTGGGCAGAACAGGTTCTAAAAATAAGAAAAAGTTTTCTCTTTCTTATGTCTGAAACTCCCTGGCTTTGTTCTTTAACGGCCACACAGCTTTTCCTGAAATGAGAACCATGTTTCAAGATTTGTGCTGCATTGTGGAGCGTGATGTGGTTGCTCCCGCCTCTGGCATCTTCTGTGCATGAGCTTAACCAGGGCTGTAGATCCAGGGAATGTGCTGCTCTTTAACCATCAGAACTTCGTTTTTCTCTCTCATCCCTCTAGGAGTTACTGCAAGAGCTCAGGCACCTCAAAATCAAGGTGGAAGAGTTGGAAAATGAACGGAATCAGTATGAGTGGAAGCTGAAGGCCACTAAGGTAAAAATCTGTTCTGTTGTTTACGGAGCGGTGTTGATGTCCATTGGGGAGAGTCTGTGATCAAGCTCTGGGTTTGCAGTAGCCTAAGCTTGAGAATTGCAAATTGACCCTACTGCGTGCACTCGCAACAGTGGGCAGATGGTGCAGCAGACAGATTTGATCCAGGAGGGCTCTTCTCATGGGGAAAGCCTGTGAGATTATGTGCTGCTGAAGTAACTGAGTCTCTTTCCTCTTGCTGTGTCCCGTGGCACCACCAGGCCCATGTTGGGCCAAGAAGGGGCTCTGTGAGTGAGTGCTGAGTCCTAAGGCAGAAGAATGCCAGTGTTATATTGGCTGCATCATTTTACATTTAGCAGTCCCCCTAATAATCCATTTTTAAAAATACGCATGCTTTATTTTTAGCAATGAATGTATTTCTAAAAAATGATATATATTTTGAATATTTTTTAACCAAATCATGTTTTCTGTGGAACTGGGGAGCTTGCTATTTAAAGGATGCCAGCGATAAATTCTTTTGTGCAATAAATATCTTCCCTCCCTCCTTTGTTTCTTTCTTCATTTCCTCTAATAGATGAGATGATTCAGCCCACACAATTATTGTTTTGGCCAGAACATTGTATTTAAAAGTGTCAAATTAGCTGTCACTTAAGCTTCAGAGAATTTCACATTAAAATAGAGTTAGGCTGCCCTGGGGGGTGGGGTGGGGTCGGGGGAAGTAGGGTGGGGAAGGAAGCTCTAACAATCCTGGAGCAGCATTTCAGCTTGAGGGAGCCTGGGCAGGGCTGCCTCTGGGTGGGGTGCACACCTGCCATTTCACTAAGGTCTCTGCAGCGCCACCCATGGGTGCTACCTGGTGGCCCCTGTAGGCATTTTCATTTTCGCTTCTTAGAGTTTTTTATTTTTTATTTTTTTTTAAAGATTTTATTTTTTCCTTTTTCTCCCCAAAGCTCCCCGGTACATAGTTGTATATTTTTTTGTTGTGGGTCCTTCTAGCTGTGGCATGTGGGACGCTGCCTCAGTGTGGCTCGATGAGCAGTGCCATGTCCGCGCCCAGGATCCGAACCAACGAAACACTGGGCTGCCTGCAGCGGAGCGCGCGAACTTAACCGCTCAGCCACGGGGCCAGCCCCTCATTTTCGCTTCTTAGAGTTTTTAAACATACTTCTTATTGGAGTTTTATTAACTTCTAGTTTGTACTTTTAGTTTTATTTTTTCTGCAAGTTATTGTTTTTATAATCATAAAAAGTTAATACTCATTATAGAGAATTTTTAAACCATAAAAATATTAAAGGAATAAAAATCACTCATATACCACCCAGGAGCTACCACTATTAATATTTCCTTCCAGGCATTTCATTGGGGGGGGGGGTGGTCAGTCTCTCTCTCTCCCTCTCTCTCTCTTAATTTCCAGTGTTGATAATTTATATACAGTTTTAAATCACACTACTAAAAGAAAATTCTGAACATGATGTTTATATCTATATAATATTACATAAATATAAAATAATTTTCTTAACCATTTTACAGATGAGGAAACTGAGGCACAGAGCAGTTAAGTAACTTTCCCAAGGTCTTACAGCTAGTCAGCACCAATCGTAGGCAATCCAAACACATTTATCCACAGCCCCGTTTTTGTTTACCTGTACCCTTATACATTCTATGCTTCACAGTCACCATTAGGAGCAGTGTTTTCCTCACATAGCTCAGAACATTCTATCAGAGTGCTCCACTCAAGCGAGTCCTGTCTTGGTGAAACCCCTGAAGTTTAGCATACACCTTCTCCTATAAAAGCAAACAACTCTTTTCTTTTTAAATCACCTAAGCTCTTTGCCTTGGCATGTAGATCTTCGAGATACGGCGGGTTATTTAATAACCACCAGGTGTGGAGCACCTCCTATGTGCCAGAGTGTATCAACCCCTTTGCACACATCTTCCCATTTGATGCATAAAACTACCTAGCAAGGCTTATTGGTTTATTATCCTCATTTTACTGGTAAGGAAACTGAGGCTCAGAGTGGCCCTGGTGAGATTCAGATCTGGATCTGTGTCATTCTAAAACTCATGATTTTTTTCCCCCACCTCATCCTGATTCCCTGCAGTAAAAACCTGTACTGTTTGAAAGTTCTTTAGTTTTCTGTGTAAAGCTTCTGGGTCCCTAAAGGTGGCTGATCTTCTGGTGCAGCGACAGTGGGTTGTGGTCCCTGGGTTTAATGAGGCCCAGCAGCCAGAGTGCCCACCTCTGCCTGACACCAGTCTGCATGTCTTTGTCTCAGATCTCTTGCCACCCAGCCCTAGCCTCAGTGGCCTTGGCAGTAGCACACATTGCCCTCATGGTCAGGTAGAGAGCCTCTGGGCTGTGGTGGACTTCCCAGCTATGGGGACAGCTCCCACTCTAAGGATAACGGAACACCTGTCATTTCTGGCCTATTCTGTGGAAATTGGCACACACAAGGTTGGGCCTTGCCACTTGGCCTGTAGAATTTTAAATAGATGACCTCACCCAGAGGCAGGCCTGGGAGAAGAGAGACCTCATCATGCCATGCTCTGTGCTCCGCCTCCGTAGGCCTTCATCACTGGCATCCACTGCGGATGAGCATCAGGCATCCAGGCTCCTAACAGAGACCAGCTCTCACCCTGTCTGCAAAGAAAGGGAGAAATGGGTGTGGAAGGTGCAAGAAAGTTTACGAGAATATCTTCCAAGAATAGTCTGGCCCTTGTAGAAATGAAAGGCATTTGGATTGAGAGTCCCAAGGCCAAGCACCTCAGAAGCCACTGACGCCATTAATCGTCAGCCCATGGGCACTGAGGCCCAGAGTGAGCTATGAAAAGCTGCTGCTTGCCTACGAGTCTCAGCAAGCAATTTGGCACAGCTGGGCTTGGCGCTCTTGCCTTTGTGGGTGGAAACCAGGGCAGAGAGGCAGTGGCTCACAGGGAACTTTGGAGTAAGGAAACCTCACCCCTTGCCATCTTTTTTTTCTTTACGTGGTCATTTCTGTCCCATTTTGGGGAATGTCAGGGAAACTTTATTCAGAAACCCTCGAGGTGGGCTCAGGGAGCCCAAGCCCTATAAGAGTGGCTGTCATCTGAGCTCTGAACTCAGATGCAGAAGGGGTAGGGTGAGTGGAGCCCTGGCTTTGGAGCAGGCGGGTTTGCATCCTGGCCTGGGCACTGAAAGGGTCTGTGACTTGGACTTGAGTCCTGCACCACTCCTGTTTTCTCCCCGGTGACATGCAGGGATGTTGCTTCCTCCCGTAGTTTCCTATGAGGATTGAGGTTTGATGTAAGAAAGCAGTGAGCACAGGGGCCGATGGAGAGTGGGTGCTCCGTCAGTGTGTCCTAAAACTGAATGCAAGGCCTGTTTGGTGGAGGAGCCAACAGCAGGGCCTGTGCTCATTTGCTTACTTGGAGTTGTTCAGAGATTAACTCGGGCCTCAGTGGGAAAGGACAAGCCCATTGCATAACCCTGAGAGATGAAGGAGGGACAAGATTGGGCTACCACACGGGGAGGGGGTTGACTGGCTGGGGGTCAGTTCTCACCCCCTTTCTTAGTCTGATTTGTTGCTCAGAGGACTAGCTCATTATCTATAAGGGAAGAAGGAGTAGATGAGAGCAGCAGTAGTAGTACCATTTATTGAGCACTTACTACCTAGCAAACACTAGGCTAAGTTGTTTGTGATCATTATCTTATTTAATCCTCACTACAGCGCCATGAGGTAAATGCTATTTTTCCTATTTTATACACGATCCAAGACTCAGAAGTGTTAATTCACTTTCCCAAGGTCACCCAACTGGGAAATGAGAGAATCCAAGTTTGACCCCCAAAGCCAGTGTGCCTTTTGGGATGGCACCTCCACAGTTCTGATCTTCTAATGACTATGGGAAGGGATGGACAACCATGCCTGTTATGTGTGAAATTTAACTGTTGTACTTAGTAGAGATGTGGGAACCACCCAATGCAGCTCCCCATGTGTGTACATATATGAATGTGTGTATGCACTTCTGTGGCTGTATTTACATGCTTTGTTTATAAAAGTATGTATGCTCAACCCATCTGAATGCTTGCATGTAATTACATGTGGGTGAGGGTTCACAGGTCCCTGGAGGTTGGGCAGAGGCAGTGACTATGCATAAAGGCTGGGAGAGTGTTTGAGGCAGGGGACTCTTGCCTCACTCTGTCTGTTGGTGGTGATTTGATTTCCACTGTGTTTCCTGTATGGGGTGGAAAAATGAAAGATGCAGACGCTTGTTACAAGTGTGCATACACGCCATTGCAGGAATATCTTGGGAGAAGGAAGACCATGTCCAGAAAGAGAATATCCATCTTTGGATCAAGGGCAGCCCTCCCATTGTGTGAGGAGCACACAATTGCAGCTCCTCGGACCTCAGTGGTGTTTGGGCTTCAGAGAGCAGGGCAGGGAAATAGCCTGGTCAAGTAAGAGGATGCAGGAGAAAAAGCAGGTGGATGGCCAGCGCCATGGGCAGGTCCAGATTGGCCAGGAAGAGTGAGTTCATTCGGCAGAGCTCCACCTTGTGGGGAGGGTAGTGAGCACCTCTGACTGCTGACCTCTGGCACCTCTGCTGCTAACTTCCTAACATGTCCTAGGACTCGTTGGTCCTGGGCTCTGATTTGAAGCACTTTATCATGGTCTGTTAGTAGGGATCCTCTGTTGTTCTTCCAGGCTGAGGTAGCCCAGCTTCAAGAGCAGGTGGCCCTGAAGGATGCAGAAATTGAGCGTCTGCACAGCCAGCTCTCCCGGACTGCAGCTCTCCACAGCAACCATGCAGAAAAAGGTACCTAGCTTGACTGTGACAGAATGCAGTGGCCCCTGGGCCCTCTCTTCTGTGTGTCTATGATTGAGTATGTGTATGCCGGTGTGAGTAGGCATGCTAATGTGCATGTACATGTGTATGCATGTGAACGTGTCCAAGTGAATGGATGCATGCATGTGTGTGCGTGAATGGCCCATAAAGCACAGCTCTATTGCGGAATCATTGCCATGAACCCCTGCCCTGTCCAGAAGACAGCTCCGAAGGCTTTTCTCAGATGCAGTCTGATCATTGAAACTCTGTGCAGCCACCTCTGGAGTTTTTACTCTTTCACTTGATTGAAAGGATTTGTTTTTGTGTCATCACTAAAGGGGAGGCTGTGGCAATTCATTCAGTCATTTAATGGATCCCTGCCTGATACTCGTATAAGGCCCTAAGGTTACAGAAACAAGTCAGTTATTTCTCATTCTTTGAATCTCAACTTAAATGTTACCTCTCAGAAAGACCTTTCCTGGCTACCCTACCTCAAGTAGGTGCCCCCAATCCTATTTTTCTCTAACTGAGCACTCTTTGTTTCCTTCATAGCACTTTTTATAATTTATCTGTGTTATATTTGGGGAGATCTCTTTGAACAGACTGCTGACCTCACTCTGGGTCAGGAACTGTGTCTGTCTTGTTTAAGACCATATCTGCAGAGCCTAGCACAGTGTTTGGCACATGATAGGCTCCTAAGAAGTATTTATTGAATACATGAAAAAATAGTGAATGGTCCTTGAGGAGTTCCAGTCTTGCTGATTAAAAATAGAGGATAAATCCTCAAATACTCTTAACACATATTTAATATTTACAGCTATTTGCCTTGTATACAAAATGATGACACACCTTCTAACTTCTCCTCTTACCACCAGGCTGCAGAGCTGGGGGAGATTATGTAGCCCTGTGGGTTGGCCCCACTACTGAGTCTCGCCTTCGCTTCAGCACTGCTTAGCTTGGATCCCTGACTCAGATGGCAAACCATGTAGCCATGAAACAATGGCTTAAGCTGGAGATAGAAATTAGTGACCAATATGCTCATCCCATCGCTCAGCCTTTCTCAGTGTCTTTCTAGGTCATTGAGTGTGTCATCTACCTTCCAGGGCCTAATGTGGAAGTTGGGTCTCCCTAAGATACTCTAGCCTCTCTGTGCCAGAGAGCACTCCAGGCCATGACTTCTGGGCCAGGCAGACTTCCCACAGCACCCCATGCTTCCTTACAGTCTAAGCCTTCCAGGCTCTATGCCATTCCATCATCAGACATCTCTTGAGCTGTTTTTTGTTTGTTTGGGTTTTTTTTTTTTTGGTCATTTGCTGCTCAGTTGGGTCTTGCCCAAAGCATCAAGGTTTGCCAGTCTTCATCTGGAGCTTACGGCTTCCCCCTAACCCCAAACTGGGCTGCAGAGCTGATCCTTACTTTCCTCTGAAAATGAATCCCTACAACTATTCACACAAAGCCTATAAATCTGTTCTTCCTATTCTTGTTGGATGTGGCAAGCATCCGAAAAGGAAATGGGGTGCCTATACTTCTGTTCCCTTTTCTCCTGTACTTTTTTATCGAGGCATCTTATTCTCTTTTTGCAATACCCAATTTGGGGATGGGTGTAGGTCCTTTTGGGAAAACTTAACTATGTGCCAATTTCTAGACCTACAAATATTTGGTAGAATGACCTCCAGCTCCTTTCGGCATTGGCCTTTGACCTGACTCACTAGACTAGTTTGGGAAGAAGTCAAGAGAGTCCTTGTTGAGTCTAAAGTGAGAGAATGCCATGTGTTGTTCACCACAGACTGACACAGATCCCTCATCCCATAGGGAAGTTCTTTAGGTTTATGATGAAATAAGATTGTTTTCCTTAACCGTAGGGCTTGTTTTAATATATTTATAGATGCATCTAAAGATTTGTTAGTCAATTCTGACTATACCTCTAAATTAGGCCAAGCATCCAACCCTTTTACATAGTCACTTTTCCAGTCTGTGTTCAGCTGTAGACTTTTTTCCCCTTATTTTAAATTCTCCTCTGCTACAATCCATGGGACTTTATGATTTTCCCTAAAACTAGTTAGCAGCCCAGGTATATGCCTACTCAAGTTATAAAGGATGAATGTTTGTTTTCTTGTGAGCTGTTGGTTGTGAAATATTTGGGGGTTTTTCTGTGTCACTTTTGAGCAAATGGCATTTTGATTTTTTCCCACAAATGTCTATAAAGAGAAGGCAAAATATTAGCTCCCTTCACTGAGTATTCCAACAAATATTTCATGAGACTGACTCTATGTCAGACACCATCATGGGTTCTTTAAAGACATAAAGGAGACCATGTCAGTTTATTCACATGGAAAGTCTTCACATCTTAGCATGTGGGGATAGTTGTCTGCATTTATGTAAGTGATTCTTTCTACACCTAAATTCTTTTAGACCAAGAAATTCAACGTCTGAAAATGGGGATGGAAACTTTGCTTGTTGCCAATGAAGATAAGGTAAGACGGTCATTGGCAGCCCTGTCCTTTCCCTGCTGACATCCTTGGCTCTGTTTGGTCCCTGCTTGTCTCTGATATTTTGGACAGGGCCATGCCCATCAGGCCAGTGGCTCAGGGATGTGTCAGAAGAACAGCCTTTGTCTACCAGAGACTTGGCTCAGCCACTTGTTTTTGGCTTTGATGCCTGGGAACTTTGCCTAAATGGAATCTCCCAAAGGCAAATTAAGGCTGTGCCTGTCCGTGCTGGTGTGAGGAAAAAAATACCACTGTGGTTACTGCCAATGTCATAGCTGCTGCTTAGACTCCTGGAAAAACTCAAGAACAGTCCACCAATCTCCCAAGTGCACGATCTAGTGATAGACCCATCATAGAGACACTGGGCAGCATGCAGTGTTTCAGTTTACTGTGTCTTCATATATTCTTTGCATAATTGACATTCTTCCTGCATAATCATAAAACAGCTGCCTCTGTGACTATAGAGCACCTCATATCAACTGTGAGGATCACAACCCTGCATTTTAATTGAGGAAACTGAGACTCAAAGTGCTTAAGTAATTTTGCCCAAGGTTGGGTGACAGTAGATGACAGGGCCAAAATTCACACCTAACTTTGTCTAACGTGAAAATCTGTGTGGCCTCCCAAGTCCCTAGGCCTTTGCTAAAGGAAATAATCCCCTCTAGGAATTTCCTCTGTTGTAGAAGAAACCTCAGACTCCTAAGGAACAGGTGAGGATATTGCAATATGTACAACAGCTTTATCTGAGTCTTTTTATGAGTGTAGCTCCAGAGGGCAACGCCCAGATCAGGAGGCAAATTTCAATGGCTACCTCAGGAGGGTAGGGAGACAGTGAGTTTCCTCCTTCTGGAAATGTGTAAGCCTCTTGAAGGCAACGTCCAGCAGGGATTGTTTTATGGCTGAGAGCTGGACTGATAGCCTTCAGGTAGATGCAAGAGTGCTGCCTGCAGCTGCCTAGGAAGCAGACCACTGAGAACCCAGGCTCCAGGAAGGGGCCTGGACACTGTGTTTCCTTTTGGAACACTCCATTTTCCACACAGCATTTCTTCTCACTGTGCCCAGAACATAGCCTGGGCCCCAAAATGAAATCACCTGAGGTGGCAGTGGTGGTGTTGACATATGCTTCTCGCACTGTGACAGGACCGTCGGATAGAGGAGCTTACAGGGCTGTTAAACCAGTACCGAAGGGTGAAGGAGATTGTGATGGTAACTCAAGGTAAGAGCAAGGGGGAGCCTACCATTTTCTCCCAAAGACATTCATTCCATCTGCTGTATTAAATCTAGGGGCAGTCCTGCCAGAAGATTCTTCATCTTCGTTTGGAGAAGATTCTCTGCTGGAGAATGGAGCTGGTTAGAGTGTTCTGGATAGTGGCAAATTGGCAGCTGTTGATTTCCAAAAATTTTAAATGGCAGTCAGTTCAGAACTCCCAGGGACTATCCAGATCACCAAGAAAATAAAGCCTTCAACTTGAGCCCTTGGGAATCCCTACCCTTGAAGATTTTCTCTGTATCTTCCCAGGAAACCCCTCAGATTCAGTCAGTGTGGTCAAACCTGGATTGCAAATCAGTTCAGTACCCTCATTGGGGATTAGATCTTGTCTGCCTCCCAGAGAATCTACAAGCTCCCCCAGTAGGTTCCAAGTGCTTTGAGATCTTCTTGGAGTCTCTGGGTACCTGGTTCCCCACAGGAAGTCACAGGGCAGGGAGAACCGTATGTGTTTATGTCTGCTGCCCAGACTGGATGCAACACGCATGCAGCGTTAGTCTTCTTATGGGCCTGGTGGGGCATATGCCAGGCTACCTGCCTTGTTCAGGCCATTGACCTGGGCTCTCATCACAGATTCCGGGAAGCAGATGTTACACGGGAGAAGGCTGCTTTGAGGGTATTCAGCAATCTCTGATTTCTGGCTTCTGGCTGAGTTTCTGCCTCATCCTGGGGAGAAGCGGAGTCCCAGCCTGGGTTATGACTGACTGGTCGCCACCCAGGGCCACTTCTGGCCTCACACACACACATTGCAGCAATGTTTTCTCTAATACTTTGGGTCAAGTTGGAGCCTGATTGCCTGTGGCCAAGGAATGAGAAGGTTGGAGAGGAATACTAGGGGGTACCGTCTCTCTGTTCCACATGAGCTTTCACCTTGAGATGACCCTTAAGGCAGTCCCTGCTCCACTGCCCTGAAAAATGTTCCGAATTACACTCTTAATGTCCCTTTTGTGTTTTTTTGGGAAACAATGTTAGGGTTTTGTGGTACAATTACAGGTTTCTAAACAGATCATATGGTGGTGATCATCCTCTGCATTGATGCTTTCAGGGCCTTCAGAAAGAACTCTCTCAATCAATGAGGAAGAACTGGAAGGAAGTTTCAGAAAGTGGAACACTGCAAATAAAGGCCCTGAAGACTTATTTAAGCCAGAGGTGCTGTTTCCATCCATGCTGTGGGGTTTCAGGAGGCCCTAGGAGCTTATGCTGAGGCTGAGGGAGAATCTCGCAGGTACCTGTCAGGTATAAATCTTGACAGGTGAAAAGTTAAATCAATAGAGTTGCCCCAGAGGCCTTGGGGAGAGAATTGAGGTGGAAAGGGCCTGTCATCTGGTCAACAAGGACAGCATAGTGGATACTGGCCTTTCAAGGATAGGAATTTTCTTTTTTAATACAGTTGCTTATATTTTTTTTTGTCTTTCCTCTCTGGAATGTAAGCACAGACCAAAGGTGGTGTTCGTTTTTTTACCACTATTTCTGCAGGGTCTGCAATAATGCCTGATTCCCAGTAGAATTCAACAAATATTTGCTGAATGAATGAGTGTGTCTTCCTCAATTAGAGAGAGCACTGCAGCTCTTGAAGTGGTCCACGCCTAGTTCTCAGACATCCCCTCCAGCCGCTGTAACCAGCATACAGATTTTCTTTCTCTTTTGCTTGTTTAAAATTTGATCCTATTATTTGCATCTCTCTGGACGTAGGCTAGATACAAATAGCAAATAAACTCGTAGATACAGATCTAACGTGCAGAAGGGGCTTCAGCCCAGAATCTAAAAGGTTTGTGAAACTCCAGAATGGTCAAACTGAAAAGGATCTTTGTGGTCCAGCTCAACCTTTTTAATCAAGGGGAGAGAAAAAGTGTCACCAAGTGACCCCGTTATCACATCAGAACAAGCATTCCAGATTACTCACAATAATAAAATAGTAGTAACTGACGCTCGGTACCTCTGCGTGGGCACTGTGATGAGCACTGTTCATAGCTCACTTCGTTTACACCTCATGACACCCCATTGGGATCCTTATTTTATTGTGGTGAAGCTGAGGCTCAGAGAGGGTAAGTAATCTGCTCTTGGTCACGTAGCAAGTGGATAGCAGAACCTGGAATTCAACACAGGTCTATCTGACCAAAAAGCCCAGGCTTTTAACAACTGTATTATAATGCCAGGGTTCTTCCTGTAGTGGCCCAAAAAGGTACTGGGCTCTAGAGAAAAGAGGTGGTCTTTGCAGTTAGTGCAACGCTGAAGACACCAAACTGTGTCCTTATATACCACCATTAGCTCGTGTTCACTCCGCCTGTAATGCTCTTGCCTTTCTTGCCTTTTTGCCAAGCCCTTCTCATTCCTCAAGATTCAGCTCGAGTGCTCTCCCCTCTGAAGCCTTCCTAACCTTCCCACCAATGAGAAGTATTCTCTCTCCCCTGTATCCCCATATTATGTTCTAGGTATCAGTGCCATAGCACATGTTACATTGATCTTTTATCGTAATTAATTTATCTGCCTTCCTGGTGTGGGAAGTGCTTGCTCCAGACCTAGCACAGAATCTGGCAGGCAGTAGATTTTGCTCCTGTTTGTTGAGTGACTATGTCGATCACAGTGTTGCTCATTGCAAACTACTCTGGCTAACCTACGCTAAAAAAGAAGGTTTTTGAAAGGGTGTGCAGTTGCTCACTGAATGAAAGGCAAGCTGAAGAACCAAGCTCAGAAAGGGTAGGGGCGGCCAGAGCCCCAGGGACTCCGGTCTCAGGGCTCTACTTCCAGGATGTGAACATAGGCCCAAGAAGGAGAGACAGGTTGGCCCACGTTGTTCACTATGCCCACCTCCTTGGCATCTTGAAAGAGCAAACCACCTTTATTGACATAGCCACCATGACTGTACCCAGGGGCAGAAATGTAACTCCTCAAGAGGAATCGTCCAAAGAAGGGGAAAGGATGTGGGGGGTCTCCACACAGTAACCGTCTTCTACAGTGACTCCTTTGTTTCTGGTGCAGATGCCTCCGAGATGTAGTTCTCCCACAGTGGGGCCACCTCCACTACCGCAGAAATCACTGGAAACCAGGTAGGAGGCCCGAGCATTTCCCTGGAGCCACTGTGCCCTCAGGCTCCTCTCGGGGTCCTGACATGGCAGGGACTGGCCGTGCATGGTGAGCACGGCCACCATGTCCTGGGCACACCCACCCTTCCATTGTCAGGGCATCACTCCAGGCCCCGGCAGTGGCCACAGTGGGGCCCAAACCATGGAGCACTCATGAACCATGCCTACCTCCCCTGGCCGCAGAGTCCCTTCCAGGGACCCAGGCTGAGGGTCTGGGTCATAGTCACTGAGAAGAGATCTAGCCAGAGGTTGCAGCCTCAAAGTAGAGGTGGCTGCAACATGTCTGTGCCCTCCAGTGGCTCCTTGGAGCTGAGAGCATCCTGTGCCGTGTGTCTCTTGTTTCTCTCAGCCTCTCTGGAAGGAGGCTTCCTGGTCTCAGGGTGATTCTAGCCCTGTGACAATCCAGGCCATCTAAGGGGAGTCATCTCTCCTACAGGGAAGTTGGTCCATTTGTGTTGGGGAGGCTTCACATGGCAATGAACTTATAATGGGCCGGCCTATGGAGTCATTTGGCTGCCACTGGTTCCCTCTAAAATGAACCTATTTCTAGTTCCCTATGTCAGCATTTTCAAACTCATTTCCAAGGTAGGCCCCCTGTAATGGAGATATGGAGGCCCCACCGCCAGGAACAGGCTGCCTTTCAGCCAAGGTGTCTGAAAAAGATGGTCATAAGCATGATGGAAGCTTCCCCAGAATAGTGCTGAGTCTCTAGAGCTCCTACACTCTCAGAACCCCACTTTCCAGAGAGCCATTGTTCCCCTGAGCCTTTAGCCCTAGAGAAGTATGGTAGTGTACAAGAGAACACTTGCCCAGTTAATTTTGTAGAATAAGAAATTTGGTTTATGCGTTCACTCAGGAGGAAGTCAGCATTGAGTAACTCATACTGACCAGACTCACAAGAGACTAATGTACTACCAGATACTGATTTAGTCGTATAAACTGAGAAATATCACTGCCAAGGAGACTTATCGCAAGGTAACCCTTGTGACCACTGGTGATATTGCCTGTTCTCTATCTAATTGGTGCCCTTCTCTGCAAAACAGCCCATGAGAAAGTAAATCCCTCTGAGCAGATTAGTCAGGGCGTACAGAGCCAGAGCAGAGGGTTGGAGAATCCTCGCAGGTGATGCTTTGGAGCTGTGGAGGCTGATGTGCTCATCTCCACTCTGAGGTGGCGCAGCTCCCTCCTCCCTGGATTACTCTTAGGCTCACAGACAAGGCAGTGTTGGCACCTTTCCTCTCTTTTGACTGCGAGTCTTCTTTTACGACCACACAACAGTCAGCTCCCACTGAGGCTCGAATTGAGTGTATTCTAGATTTTCAAGGAATGCCAAGGACTTCTGATTTGGAATTAAGCGATGCTCTCATGCCCTCGCCAACACATTGTCAGACCAGACTATTCCCCCAAGATGGGCCAGCCTCATCTCATGTGTAACAGTTATGAGGAGAGTGTGGTTTTTTTCCTGACCTTGACCCTAAGCCCACTTAAGAGACTCCTGGTTAAACATTTGGAATAAACTCTGCATGAACGATAGATACCATATACCTCCTTCTCTAGTAACTGTTTCTTCACTTTCTTTTGTGTTTTTCCAGGGCTCAGAAAAAACTCTCTTGTAGTCTAGAAGACCTGAGAAGTGAATCTGTGGATAAGGTCAGCCCATGTCTATCCGTAAAGATTACCGAGTTACTTCTTTGTGCCCAGCAGTGCTGGGATATACAGGAGAGGTCCTGCTCCCTACTTTGTAGAGGGTTTTATAAAGTTGATGGGGAGGCAGGAATTACATGAAGATTTTGAGAAAACCAGTCAGGTGCAGCCCAAGGCATCCCAGAGCAGGGCAAGTCAGGAAATGCTGCCTGGAGCTGGCAAGAGAAGATGGTGAGGCAGGCACAGGCAGATTTGGGAAGTGGTGGGGAGCAGGAAGAGGTAAGTTCAGAGCCAGAAATCAGTTCAAGCCTGAGAGGGTCTTGAATACCGGCCCTGTATCCCCAGAGCACTGGGAAGCCTTGCAGAGATTTTGAATGAGGAAGTAATGTGGATACAGGAGATGATCACAGGAGCGAGTTAAGGAATGATTTACAGGATGGAGAGAGGAAGCTTTTTTGAGAGTCTAGAAAGATATGAGGAGGGCTTTGTCGCCACTTATAGGGGGTAGCCATTGATCAATGGCTGCCTCAGGCCTAACACACGAGGACAGCACATAAATAGAGGCACAAAAAATATCCTGTGCCCAGGGCCTGGAGTGACAGTAATGACTACAAGAGCAGTCAATACCCCTGTGCTGGAGGGAGGGTCGCAGGGTCTTGAGTGAGGTCGTTGGAGACCAAGGAGTCCCGCCCTGACAGAGCCCCTTCACTGAGACCTGCGGCACAGTCTCTGGTCTCTAGCAGTGCACCAGCCCTCGTGATACAATGGAACACCATAAAGGCTGGAGCCGGCAGAGCCACGGGCCCATTCAGTGGCTTTGCTCCCATCGTCACGTGCCTCTTGCTCCCCCCATTAGACTGCTGGCAGCTGCCCTGGGCATCCGTCCATGATGTGGGCTGTGTTTCCTTCATGGATATTGGTTCCCTGGCATAAACATGGGGAGGGAGGGGATGAGCCTTGTAGATTTAAGCAGGCAGGGGGTCCTGAGTTGTTGTTTGTGACTAACACAGGTCTCTTTCTCTCCACATAATTGACATCCTTCTTGCCATTCCACAGTCTGTCGATGGGAACCAACTCTCCCCAGTGGTAGAACCCAAGGTATATTACCTGCATGTCCCTGTCACGTATTTGTGGTTACATTGTTTGCTAGAGTGTTTTCATTTGATGAGTTACAGCTTTTGTACCTTTAAAATACGTTAACTGTAGGGGGTAAGACAGCAAGAGGAAAGACAAAACTTCTTCTCCCATTTTCTTCACATGTGCACCCAGCTGTGTAATGTGCTTTCACCTCCATTATCTGTGGGGTAGGATTTATTCTTATCTCCTCCATTTTATAGGCTCAGAGAAATTCATCTTTAACAAGGCAGTGTAGATCTGATTGCTGGGAAGGGGGATATTATGATCTCAGCATACAATTAGAGGAATATGACAGCTCTCATCCTTTCTGTGCTGATGTGTTGTGTTTAAAAAACACGGGAGTGCACTCAGCCACAGGTGCAAGAATCTTTCTGCAGCATCCCTAACGTTGGTGTCCGGCCCTTGCTTTGTGGGCCTGAGAGCTCGTTCCATTGTAAGATCCCCCCTGTATTCTTTTCCAGCTCTGTCTATTCGATACGTCTCTGGACTTCCCTAAAATGTACATCTGCTGATCCTGGCTCTCCCTCGGGAGCCCATGCAATAAGTCAGTCTGCCCTGCTCCTCCCAGCTCTAGAATTTAAGTCTCTCTGGCCCTCTCTGAGTTAAACATCCTCTTCTCATGTGCACAGATCACAAGCCTTTACAGTTTCTATCCAGGGTCCTTAGGATCAGCACTGGTTTCTCAATGTCTCCTCTAACTTGTGCCCTGGACCACACTTGAATGTGACATTCTAGATGGGGTCTGACCTGTGCCTTCTTTCATCTGGGGACTGCTCTTGTAGTCATTGCTGTCACTCCAGGCCCTGGGCACAGGATATTTTTTGTGCCTCTATTTATGTGCTGTCCTCGTGTGTTAGGCCTGAGGCAGGAATTGTTGTTCCCTATTTAGAAACAATAATACAGAGGTTCTGAGAGGCTAAAGAGAAAGAGTTTTGCCTCAATCCGTCTGATGCAAAGCCTGTGCTGTTCCTACTCTGTTGTGCTGACTCTCTCTGTGCTAAGTTAGGGCAGCTGGGTCATCAGTTACATGCTGCTCTCTGGCTGGGGTTTCCATTTCCCTATAACCAGGCTTATTCTTCTTGGGGAAGCAGAAGCAGACCTGGATCCAAGCATTTCTGATTCCTCTGTGTCACATCCTGACATTGCACGACCTTCTCCGGCAGTGAGTCCTTCCTTTCCAGCTTTTCTTCTGGGCTGAACAGAGTGAAGAGCCCTTTCTGTTGCCCTCAGTTCCTTCTGTTTTTCTGTTCTGTCTTTCTTACAGGTCTGGGCCACCTTTTGAAGCCCATCCTTGGATTAGGTACTGCCCTGTTTACATCTCAGCTCCTCAGCGAGCTTCCAGGGCAGCCCACTTCGGTGGCCTTGGTGGTCTCTGCCCTGTCTTAGGTGGGCATGTGGGATGACTCAACCGGAAATCTGTTTTTGAGAGCCCTTCCTCTCTGCCGTACTTCCTGTATAACATCGAATGTGGAGTCATGCCCTTCAGTTCTCTAGCTTTTTGAATGCTGCCTTCCCTACAGTCAGTGATTCCTGGGTCTGACTGTGCATCAGAGTAATCTGAAATGCTTGATAAAAATACAGACTCCCAGGGGGGCTGATTTGTGGGATCAGGTGGAACCTGGGAATTTATATGGTTTTTGTAAGTGTCCCAGGTGATTATGAAGCAGCTGGTGCATGGACTAGCATTTGGAATTCTTAGCCACATGTCTGATCAGGTCCAATCTTGACCTCATGAGTCATCATGAACTTAAAAACTGTGTAGTCTCCATCTCTCAAGGATCTGATTATTTCTACTTCACTAGCCAGTTTTTTCAGAATTCCTTGAGAATTTAGTCTACTTTTCCCATGTCTCTCCTTTCTGAGCTTATTAAGAGGGGGTTAGTACTCCGTGTTCAGCGAATGAGTTGGATTTCAAACAATTTCTAGGACAGGCATTTATAAACAAACTGAATTCAGAAATTTATTGGGCACTGGGCTCTTTACTAAATGAGACTTCAAAAGATACCTCAGTCACTGAAACCTCCTATGACTTTTTTGACTTGTCAGTTTTGAAATTGGTTTTGTCTTTCGTGTTACTTTTCCTCTGGGTCCAATCAAGTGATCCGCAGTTGATTCCCTCGGTAATGCTACTTCAATTTCTCTCTTATTTTCACTCAAATGCATTCCACTGGGGTTGAGGGGCCATTATATCCTTCTTGACCGATTAAGTGCAGTTCCTCTTCCCCTTTACATCGACTTCTTTCTTTGGGACCCTTTCACGTCCAGGGTCTGAGCACAGGGCCCCTTGCACTGGGGCTGAACCGCATGCAAACTCTGATCCCAAGTTCCTAAGGGACCTCTGTGTGAGCATGTAGCTCTCTGGCCTGTTTCCTGTTGTCATCTCCCCAAGAGTGCGCATGTCTTCTGAATTTGCCTTAACCTGATATTTTTCAAAATAACTATTATCATAATCCATAAATAAAATTAATATATAATGTATAATATTATATAATATAAATATGTAATGAAGCAATAGGTATAGTTTGATTAGAATTCTGATTTATATATTCAAAGAACTCAAAGGGTAGTTCATGGCTGTCAGTTCATTGGGCTTCTGAGCAGCAGGCTAAATGGCAGTGTCTTCCTTTGCAAGACGCCTCACTTCCTGCTTAGGGCTAGTTGCAGGCAGCTCTGGATTTAGGCTTGACTCTGTCCCTATCTCACCGTGTGGCCTTGGGGAAGTTTCTTCCTTTCTCGGAACTCTGGTCCCCTTTCCTGTCCTAGACTAAATGATCTTTGAGGGGTCTTTGAGTCGGCCTGAGTGAAAAATGGCTCTTGGAGAACAGGGAGTGGTTCCTGCATCCAAAGATTTCCTAACTGGGATGGGTCTGAGACTGACGGCTAATTCAGCATCTCTCTCTCTCTCCTCTTCCCATAGGACAGTCCTTTCCTGGTAGAGCACAAATACCCCACATTACCTGGGAAGCTTTCAGGAGCCACGCCCAATGGAGAGGCTGCCAAATCTACTTCCACTGCCTCCCAGCCTGACCCGGCAGGGAGCAGCCTGCTGAAGCTGAGTGAGTGTCCAGGCCCCTACGCTGGCAGCCCCGGAGCAGCAGCCTTAGCATTTCCAATTATTGCACAAGATCCCTGTGCCCACCACTGAGCCCACAATCAGAGAATGGTGGGGGTGGGGTAGATGGGACAAGTCGTCCTGCTTTCAGAGTTGATGGCTCACTGACTGGTGCTCTGTTTCCTTCAGTAAACGCTTTAGAGCCCCAGCAAACTAGGGTGTGTGGCCACCCTCGTTTTTTTCCAGCTGCAAGTAGTCCACTCTATTTTTCCTTCTTTTTCAATTTCTCCTTTCTTGACCCCTTCCTGTCTTCCCATCATTCCTCTTTTCTCTCCTCTTTAGACACCCTGTTCCCTGCTTCCTGTCCCTCATTCTTCCTTCCTCTGTCGTCCTGATCCTCTCTCTCCTGTCTCTGCTTTCCTCTCTGCAGCCTCCCTATTACCAGTAGGATGATATTATGCACTCTTCCAAGGGAGAGCATTTCCTTAGAGAAATGGAGGCAGTGGCCAGTGGGCAAGGATGTCAGTCCACAGGGATCCTTTTGGTGTTTAGGACCTGAAACCATGGAGGGTTTTGCTGCTTTTCATGTATCATAGGCTATCTTTTCTGAACAGCAGCAGACCAGTGTGGCCCAGGAAGGAATGTTCTGGTCCAGGCAAAGCTCTTCCTACCCCTGACTTCTCATCCCTGGCTCTTCCCTGTCCCAGCCCAGGTGTTGGCTTCTTCCCTTGGCCAGTTCTGCCTTTGGCTGCAGGAACTCCAGATAAGCCCTTGGATGAGTATGGAGAATGTCCTCGTGACACTCAGACTATGCACTTGCAGCAGCTTCAGACTATTCTAGTCTGATCTAAGTGAGCCCAGCACCCGCACAAGAGCTGCGTGTGGCCCAGTATATTCAGTCCCTGCTACTCTCCCTCCCTCTCCCTGCATGTGGATCCCTCAGCCTGCCAGGAAGTGGCACCAGGAGCATTTGGTCCCCTCACATGAGGCCTCCTCACTGCGCTGACCCTGTGGGCCGAGCTCAGTCACCTTTCCCTCTATCCTTCCTCGTGGGATTTTTTTTTCTTTCTGTTTGAGTTTTTCTCTCTTGCTCGATGACTCTTTTGTTTATTTCTTTGCCTCCCTATAACTCTGGTGGGCTGGACTTTGGCCTCTCTTGCTTCTTCATGTGGCTTCTCTGCTTCTTGGTTGGCTGGAGATCGCGGCCGGAGTGTCAGTGCCCCTGTATTAGGTACTGTACCCTTCCAGGTGAGGTGGAGAGTGAGAAAGCCCCTGCTTCCCTACCCTGACACCCTCCCCTCCCAAACAGTCAGCAGGTCCCCCTCCTGCCTGCATGTCCGCATCTCCCCTGGGGAAAAGAGAGCAAGCTCCTTGTTGGAGTTACCTACCAGTACTGGGACCCAAAACCCTTAGAATTCGAAAACATTAGCTCACCAAGATTTGAAACCTTAAGCTCACTGATTCCTCAGAGCCAGAACCTGGACAGTGCATGAGCCTCTACTGAGGTCTTGGTGTAAAGTTCTGCCCTAAAGGCAGAGCTGGGCAGACTCCTCCCAACTCTCCCTGGAAGATGGCCTAGGCTTCGGGGAGAAGGTTTCTAGAGGGTATGTCCCTTCCTCTCATTCACACATCATTACATTCTTTCAATCTCAGGAGACACAGAAAGTGGCTGGGACGACACTGCCATGGCCAATGACCTCTCATCCACGTCATCTGGTACTGAGTCGGGCCCCCAGTCTCCCCTGACACCAGATGGTAAACGGAGTCCCAAAGGCATCAAGAAATTCTGGGGAAAGTAAGTTGGTGGTGATGATCATAATTATATTCCTGGGAATTACTCTTCTTCTTGACTGGCCAAAGAGTCTGCATAAACCCTTGTTCAATTAAATGTTGGGACAGCAGTGAAAACAAAGTTGTCATGTTTAGAGAGAAGAATTCAAGTTATTTTTTAGGGCCCAGAGAAGGAGAACTATGAAAGGCATCTATTAAATATAGCCTCTTGCCTTACATGTCATTCATTCCAGGCATCCATCCCACCCATCCCTCAGACCCTGAACACATTCTCTGCAGCTTACACCACATGTGCTTTAGGACAGACACATGGATGAGACCAAGTTCTTCCTTCTTAGGGGTCAGTCTGTGTCTTGAGAAATCTTTGAAGACTGGGGCCTCCTACCAGGCATCAGCCTTAACCTTGATGCCCATGGGGAGTAGCCCAAATCCTAGAGGCAGGATTAGAATTGAGGCTTGGATCTGGCCAAGGAGCTTGTCTCAGGTCATGATCCTTGACCTCTGGGGAGGCACTAGGAGGCAGAGCCATCAAGAGTTCTAGGTCTGTCTTGCGTAGCCCTGTGTAGGAGGGGGTGCGGTGACTTCGTGCTTGCAGACTGTCCCCTGACAGTCTCCATGGATGCCTCTCCACACAGAATCCGAAGAACTCAGTCAGGAAATTTCAACACTGATGCACCCGGGATGGCAGAGTTTCGACGAGGTGGCCTCCGGGCAACCGCAGGGCCACGACTCTCTAGGACCAGAGACTCCAAGGGTCAGAAAAGGTAAGGCTCCTTCCAGTCCATCTACAAAGATCTATATGAAATCCTGGCCAGGGTGGAGTGGGTACTAGCATCCAGAGATGGAAAGCAGGAGCCCCTAGTGCAGAGCTTCTCAACCTTTCCCGTTTGACATGAGTAGGTACCATCATGTTTGTAGGTACACTGAGAAAAAGACAAGAGGCTCCCTACATCAGAGGTGGCTGGGGTGGAGGTGGACCCTCTGCCTTCTCTGAGGACCTCAGCAGCTCTGCACATCTCTATCATTCTCAGCAGTGCCTTTGCATGCTGGATTGAGAAGCTCTGGTGCAGCCACTGAGAACACAGATTCTGGAACGACAGACCTGTTCTTAAGGTCTCACCCACTTCCTAGCAGTGAGCCCTAAGCCAAGTTACCCAAGCTACATTAGTTCTCTATGCCCCAGTTTCCTCATTTGTGGAGTAGGGGGTCAAAAACAAGTACGTTGTAAAAGTTCTTATGAAGATTATATGAACTACTGCATGTGTAACCCCAAGGGCAGCTGTCAGCCATTCAAGGTTCCCCTTCCTCCGGTATATTTGGGAAAGAGCATCCTCTCTCCTGCCTCTGCGTCAGTGCCCTCCTCAACACAGACCTCCACAGAAGGTGTCGCTGGAGCAGGCAGCACCTACTGTTGTACCTCATAATACATTGTACCAAACTTTCCTGAAGTGTGTTGACTGAAGAGGGTGCAAAGGGATGAAAATGGGAAGTTTCTCATGACTGTCTCATCATGTCCTAATGAAAAAGGATAAAAGAATTAAACTTTTCCAGAGATTGCCATGACGGGCACCCTCCATCCAGTTCCTAGTTTCAACCCCTTTCCTTAGATCTCCCTGTTCTGAGAAGAGCGTCTCCCTTCAGACCTGCCCAAGGCGAATCTTTACTTCTGTGTTTTGGAGAACTCCCTTTCCATGTCCTCTGGTCCCTTCGGATAATCCCTCCCATACATCATCTCCAGCAGAATATCTCCTAAAGTCTCAGTCACTCAGCCAAGATCAGGCTTCTGGGGGCCTTCCTCAGGGTTGGATTGTGACATTTTAAATCTAACCAAACAGTGAAAAGTAAGGTTTCATTCTCTTAAATTTCATCCCTTTGAGATTGCCATACACCAGTGCCAAGTGCAGGTAATTGCTGAGCAAGATTTGCACAACTCAAATATTAATTCTCAGAAACAATACAGTCTAGATCCCAACGAAGGAAGAAGAGTGTGTCCCTGGTGCACCTGTTGTTCACAGACCTGCACCGTGGAAGAGAGCACGTGGATGCACGCCCCCCTTCCCCACCCTGCCGCCCTCAGGTTTCTAGGCTTTGCCAGGTGCTCCCCTGTACACACACACACACACACACACACAGCCTTTCTAGATCCGTCTGTGCTTTGATGGGTGTCCCCAGATCTATCCTCCAGATACCTTGCAGAGAAAGGTGAGGATGTGTAGACCTGTACCTGCACCTGCTCCCCTGGGATCAAGGAGTCACTGTTCATTCTCCTCAGCACAAATGGAACTGCTCAGTAACTGTCAGCTTTCAGAGGCAAGAGAATCTAAGGAGAAGGTCTGAGAAGGCAGAGACCAACTCAGAGCCATTAGAAAGTGAGCCAAAGAAAGCTGACCTATATATTCTATGATAGCAATGTTCAAATTTACTTAGCAATTTTCAGAATTTCGACATTAATGTTTCTGATTTTTCCGAAATGAAAAAATAAAGCTTGAATAATTAATTTTTGTTCCGATTCTGGCTACTTCTTTGGGACTGATTCTTGAAGGGGAAAGATTGGTCAGTATAGAAGAACTTTTCTAAGACCCTTGGGCCTTTTTTCTCAGAGCAGGACTGCATGGTTAGGGAGCCCTTTACATTCTGCCAGTCATTCTGGCACCGGGTAACCGATGTCAGCAACTTTCTCTGCCAGATGGAAAAACTGCAGTTACAGCCACAGGGCTGCTTTGTTTAGACGTCTTTGTGCTTTGTTACCCATGACAATGGATGATAAAGGGAATGAAAATGAAGAAGTCCTGAGGAGATTGTAATGTTTATCACAACAGTGCTTGTGGTAACAAAATGAGTTTGCTTGTGGAAAAGAAAGGCCTTTATATACTCTTAAGCAGAAATTTGACATAATTATATGCTAATGTCCTCTGGTGTTTATAATTTATAGATATTCAGATATAGCCTTAAGAAAATATTGTCACCAATATTCCTATAGCAAAAGTACTTTGTTATTGAAAGTCTCCAGGCCCAATCCTCTTTTTTCCAATGAAACAGTTGTTTTTTAAATTTAACATTTGATAATGACATTTTGTAGGAACGAACTCTCAGGTTATAGACAAATGAATTTTATTGTCTTTTTTCCCCCACGTAAGGTTTTACTGATTTATATTCCAGTCAGCACTGCTGTATAGCGAGTGCCTGTTACACCCACAACCTTGTTCTTAGCATTAAGTCTTTATAGGTTTTCTTTGTTTAAACTTCCTCAGTTTTATAGACCTTCAAAAACTACATTTTTATTGTTAATTTAGTTTACATATGTTTGTCATTTTATTTCTTCTTTTGTGAATTGTCTGCATTTTTGCCCATCTTTATTTAGTTATGAATGTCTTTTATTTAGTTATTTAATGTCTTTCTTAAAGGTTTCTATCTGTTCTCTATATATTAAGATATGAAGCCATGTCTAATAATTGTGACAAGTTATTTTTTAAGTTGCAGTTTTACTTTGATATATGGAATTTTTAGATTTATGTATAATGAGATTCATCAACTTTTCCTGTGTAATTTCTTTCATTATTTTGTTTTACAAGTTTTCAATGATCTTTTTAAACTACAATTTTGAACTGTGAGTTTAAAAAAATAATGTTTTAAACTTTTTTTTGCTTTTGGTGAGGAAGATTCACTCGGAGCTAACATTTGTTGCCAAATTTCCTCTTTTTTTGCTGAGGAAGATTATCCCTGAGCTCACATCTGTGCCCATTTTCCTCTATTTTGTATGTGGGGTGCCACCACAGCATGGCTTGAGAAATGGTGTAGGTCCACACCCAGGATCCGAACCTGTGAACCTGGGCCACCAAAGCAGAGCACACTGGACTTAAACACTACGTCATGGGACAGGGCCCTGTTTTAACTTTTAAAATCATCTATTTGGGGATTTATTTTGATATGTAATGGGAGTTCTGTTTGTTTCAAGAAAAAGCAGTAGATGTAATCTTTAAATCAGGCAGACACTGAAGCCACATGATGGGATCCCATCTTTGTTGGAGGGATTGTCAGAGTTGGTCTCCTGAGTGTATTGCCCTTGGGGGCTTTCTGAGAGTCTCCAATCAGACTGCTTCCCTGCCTCTGGCCCCTTTTTATTGCCTTTCTCCCATATTCATGGTCAGCATCACATTTATCATGAATGTAAGGAAGCTTAAGCTGCAAGGTCCCTTACTTGCATGGGCCCCTTCCAGGGTCCAGAGAGGGTCCAATCAATGTGTTGACAAGGCATGTGTTTTGAAAATTTTTCATAAGTATTTTTTGTTTCTTTATTTTCAATTATTTTATTGAGGTCATAAAGCTTTATAACATCACATAATTTCAGGTGTACATTATTGTTTATTAATTTCTGTATAGACTGCATTGTGCTCATCACCAAAGTCTAATTTTTACCTGTTACCATACATATGTGCCCCTTTACCTCTCTTGCTCACCCCCAAGCCCTTTCCCCTCTGGTACCCACTAATCTGTTCTCTTTATCCATGTGTTTGTTTATCTTGCACATATCAGTGAAATCATACCGTATTTGTCTTTCCCTGTCTTGCTTATTTCACTTAACATCAGACCCTCAAGGTCCATCCATGTTGCTGCAAATGGGACAATTTTGTCTTTTTTATGGCTGAGTAGTATTCCATTGTATATATATATATATATATACCACATGTTCTTTATCCATTCATCTGTAGAAGGGCACTTGGGTTGCTTCCACATCTTGGCTACTGTGAATAATGCTGTAACGAACATAGGGGTGCATAAATCTCTTTGAATTGTTGATTTCAAATTCTTTGGATAAATACCCAGTAGTGGGATAGCTGGATCATATGGTATTTCTATTTTTAGTTTTTTGAGAACTCTCCATACTGTTTCCATAGTGGCTGCACCAGTTTGCATTCCCACCAGCAGTGTATGAGCATTCCCTTTTCTCCACATCCTCTCCAACAGCTGTTATTTTTTGTCTTGTTAATTACAGCCATTCTGACAGGTGTAAGGTGATATCTCATTATAGTTTTGATTTGCATTTCCCTAATAATTAGTGATGTTGAAGATCTGTGCATGTGCCTGTTGGCCATCTATATATCTTCTTTGGAAAAAATGTGTGTTCATATCCTCTGCCCATTTTTTGATTGGGTTGTTTTTGTTGTTGTTGTTCAGTTGTGTGAGTTCTTTATATATATTATGGAGACTAACTCCTTGTTGGATATATGATTTGTAGATATTTTCTCCCAGTTGGTGGGTTGTCTTTTCATTTTGTTCATGGTTTCCTTTGCCTTGCAGAAGCTTTTTAGCCTGATGTAGTCCCATTTGTTTGTTTTTTCTTTTGTTTTCCATGTCTGAGTAGACACGGTATTTGAAAAGATGCTACTAAGACCGATGTCAAAGAATGTACTACTTATATTTTCTTCTAGGAGTTTTATGGTTTTAGGTCTTACATTCAAGTCTGTAATCTATTTTCAGTTAATTTTTGTATATGGTGTAAGTTAATGGTCTACATTCCTTCTTTTACATGTGGCTATCCAGTTTTCCCAACACCATTTATTGAAGAGAGTTTTCTTTTCCATTGTATGTTCTTGATTCCTTTGTCAAAGATTAGCTCTCCATAGATGTGTGGTTTCCTTTCTGGGCTTTCCATTCTGTTCCATTGATCTGTGTGCCTGTTTTTGTGCCAGTACCATGCTGTTCTGATTGCTATAGCTTTGTAGTATATTTTGAAGTCAGGGATTGTGATGCCTCCAGCTTTGTTCTTTTTTCACAGGATTGCTTTGGCTATTCATAGTCTTTTGTTGTTCCATATAAATTTTAGGATTCTTTGTTCTATGTCCATGAAGAATGTCATTGGGACTCTGATTGGGATTGCATTGAATCTGTAGATTGCTTTAGGTAGTATAGACATTTTAACTATGTTTAGTCTTCGAATCTATGTGCATAGAATATCTTTCTGTTTTTTTCTGTCTTCTTCAATTTCTTTCACTGTCTCATAGTTTTCAGTGTATAGGTCTTTCACGTCCTTGGTTACATTTATTCCTAGATATTTTATGTTGAGGTCCTTTCCTTCTATACCTATTTTATTCAGAGTTTTTATCATAAATGGGTGTTGGATCTTGTCAGATGCTTTCTCTGTAACTATCGAAATGATCATGTGATTTTTTATTCCTCATTTTGTTAATGTGGTGTATCACATTGATTGATTTTTTGATGTTGAACCATCCTTGCATCCCTGTTATAAATCCCACTTAATCATGGTGTATGATCCTTTTAATGCATTGCTGTAGTTGGTTTGCCAATATTTTGTTAAGGATTTTTGCATCTATTATTTTCATCAGTGATACTGGTCTGTAATTTTCCTTCTTTGTATTGTCTTTGTCTGGTTTTGGTATCAGGCTGATGTTGGCCTCATAGAATGAATTAGGAAGCATTATGCTTTCTTCAATTTTTTGGAACAGTTTGAGAAGGATAGGTATTAAATCTTCTTTGAATGTTTGATAGAAATCTCCAGAGAAGCCATCTGGTCCTGGACTTGTATTTTTTAGTAGGTTGTTGATTACTGTTTCAATCCCTTTCCTTGTGATTAGTTTATTCAGATTCTCTATTTCTTCTTGATTCAGTTTTGGGAGGTTGTATAAGTCTAAGAATTTATCCATTTCTTCTAGGTTATCCAATTTGTTGGCATATAGTTTTTCAAAGTATTCTCTTATAATCCTATTTCTGTGGTATCTGTTGTAATTTCTCCTCTTTGTTTCTAATTTTATTTATTTGAGCCTTCTCTCTTTTTTTCTTAGTGAGTCTGGCTGAGGGTTTGTTTATTTTGTTTATCTTCTCAAAGAACCAGCTGTTAGTTTCATTGATCCTTTCTACTGCTTTTTTTAGTCTCTATTTCATTTATTTCTGCTCTAATTTTTATTATTTTTCTCCTTCCGCTGACTTTGGGCTTGCTCTTCTTTTTCTCGTTCTCTTAGGTATAGTTTAAGATTACTTATTTGAGATTTTTCATGTTTGTTGAGGTGGGCCTATATTGCTATGAATTTCCCTCTTAGAACCACTTTTACTGCATCCCATAAGAGTTGGTTAAGTAACACAACCAGTCTTAAGTCTGCTGACTCTTTACTCCAACTTTCCCTTGGTCTACACCTTCTCTTCTGTCATGTGATGTTGGAGTGGCCATGGTATTTTTAGGATCTGGCTAAGAAGAAATTGAGTTGGGGATCCATTTAGCTTTGGTTTAGTAGGATATGTGTATGTGGTTTGCAGCCACTTCATCTTTAGTTAAGTTTACTTAGGTTTAGTTAACTAGCTGTCTTATGTAAAAATGGCTTCCAGGATTACATGTATTTCCCAATGTGCCACTTTGCCCAGCATTGTGATACAAAGATGCAAAATCTGAGATCATGTCCCAGTATGAACGTGTCCCCTGGCACTCAGTATCAGCAGTATGGGGTAGTGGAAAAGAAACAACATTTGAAATGTACAAACCAGAAGCTAGTCTGTGGAAATTCTTTCCAGTCTTCAGATCTGTAAAATCCTAAGCAGATTTGGTTCTCTTGGATGCTTAATCAAAACAGAAGTTTTCCCTTGTCAGAAATACACTAACTAATGAAGTGTATACAATGATAAATCCACCATATATTCTCCCTCTACCACGGGAAAGGTGTATTTGATAAATCTCAGTTGCCACATTTTAACTGAAATTTGGAAAGATCTTTTGGTTCATGTCAATAAAACAAGTGGTTTGGCTGTACATGAAAGGTACCTTCTCTTTCATCTCTAAATTGCTTAATGGTGTGTTCAGCCATGGCCCTGGCTGAGAGTATGGGAGACCCTGTCACAGAGAGAACCTGAGGCGATGGAGAAGCTGGGTCTGATGCTGTGAGAACAGCACTGGCTTAGGAGGGTGAAGGTAGTTCACAAAGTAGGAGATAGGAAGATGCTGAAGATGAGCATCAGAGCTCTGGGATGTTTTGAAAAGGTCTACAGGACAGAGGTTTTCAAATTATGATCTCAAAAATACATTTCCCTTTCAGAACTGAACTATCCCTATGATAGAGAGAATGTTTGTCTTTCCTAATTCCCAGAAATCAGAAAATGAATGAAATAAATCTAATAGAATATGAAATAACAGTGAGAAAATGAGTATCAAAATTAAGAGAAATTATTCTGCCATTAAGAAAAAATATATAAACAAAAAAATTACAGATCATACCACAAGCAGTAATTCACTAAGAACAAGAGATAAATTCCAAACAAAAATAGTGAATAGATTCCTAGATTGTTGTCCATATAGAGTGAATCATATGAATACATTTGAAAAAAGATTAAAATTTCTTGCTGATTTTGCACAATAGACTGACATCAACAAACATCGCATGAAACTCATAATATGCAACAGCCACAGGGACATCAAATAAATGTTATCGGTTGAGAGAATATTTAAGATTTTCCAAGAGCACTAGAAAACTTGAATGCTATGTAATTTTACAGCTCAAATCTAAAAGACACTTGATAGAGGTTTTCCTAAATTTGATGATTCTAAAAATTCACTTGACAATACCAATTATAAATTATGGAAAAATTTTTAAAAACTATCATAATAACAAATAAATATTGATCAATCATGCTAGAAGAAAGACGTAACCTCCTGTTCTCATAGAAAATATTATAGTGTTGTTGACATATGGAAAAGAATGAAAGTGTATGTACCCAAAATATGAAGGTAAAAAACTAGTTAGAGATATATCTAGGAGTTAATTAATAAATATATCATTTTTCTGGATTTCATCATGTTTTTCCATTTGATCCAATTTGTAATTTTTTGTGATTTGTTTTTTCATTTTAAATATTCACTTTGTTCCTAATTTTATATTTAAGTTTTATACTTTTCTTAAAGAGGGCTCCCCAAATTTTATAAGTTCTAGGTCTCACAAAACCTGTATCTACACCTATTCGTGGCTCATGAAAACCCTCACTCCAGGCAATGAGTGACCAGCACCTACTCCAGGGTACAGGTCATCTGTAGCATCTGTTCTAGAAGGAGGCTTTCTTGTCATTCTGGCCCGTTAAGGAATTTCCTCACTTAAAGAACAACTCAACTAGGCATTCAAAAAAATTTTTTTTAACTAGCATTTTAGGGGTACTTTCCTGGAAGGAATCTTTTGAAATATCTTCTATATTAGTAGTATTCTAATAGTCTTCTGTATTCCATAAATCCCTGTTTATTTTAAAAAATGAATATAAAGTTGGTTTATCACTCCCCCCCCCCAAAGGCTCTATTGGGATTTTAAGTGTGCCAGTATATTCACACTTTAAATGAAAAATTGATGTCTTTAAGAATTGATGGCTTTGGGATACCCAGTCATCCTGTCTAGGAACGTGATCTAGCTCTTCACTTATTCATGTCTTTCTTTATGTCACTCAGTTAAGCATTACAGTTACCACCCCCCGCCCCCCAATCCCCACACACAGTTACACAAGACCCACACAGTCCTTGTAATGTAATGCAGCTCCTAGATATTTTATAATTTTCGTTGCTATGAGTGGGATTTTTAAGTTATTTTAAGAAAAGCTAGTATCTCTGCATTGATGGTATATAGAAAGTTATTGATTTGTGGGACCGGCCTGGTGATATAGTGGTTAAGTTCATGTGCTCCACTTCAGTGGCCCAGGGTTCACAGGTTCAGATCCTGGGCGCAGACCTAGACACTGCTCAGCAAACCATGCTGTGGTGGCAACCCACATGCAAAACAGAGGAAGACTGGCACAGATGTTAGCTCAGCGACAATCTTCCTCAAGCAAAAAGGGGAAGATTGGCACAGATGTTAGCTCAGGGCCAATCTTCCTCACCAAAAAAGGAAAGAAAGAAAGTTGTGGATTTGTGTATGTCATAAATATTATGTGTGTGAGTATTATATCAGTAGCTACCTTACTGAGTTCTCTTGGGTTTCCTAGGTTGGCAGTCATATCATCTGAAAAGAATGGCTTTCTTTTATTTCTCCCTTTCTAATAGCTATACTGCTTGTGTTATTTCATCTCTTCTTATATTGGCTACAACTCTCAGACCAGTATTATTAGTACTGGTAAAAAATACTGTCTTTTTATTGACTTTAATGTGAATGCCCCTAGTGTTTCATTAATAAATAAGGTATTAGCTGATGTTAATTGGTGGTTTTATTTATTTATTTTTACATGTTAGAGAACTGACACCTTTTCCTATTTTCTAAGTGTTTTCCTAAAAATGGTGTTGAATCCTGTTGAAAACATGATTCAGTTGTGGATCTTCATCCTGATGGGCCAGGACTCAGGGCTTGTGGCACATGTGCACGTGCACATGGACTGACAGCACACATAAACACAGCCTCATGTGGATCATATAGCTGCCCCATGCTCTCAGCAGCTGCAGATTTGAAATTGAGGCCAGGCGTTATCACAGGAAACTCCAGAGTCAAATGGAGTCAAACCTCAACTGATTGTGTTGTAGCAGAATTTTGCTCAACAAGATCCCACGATGGGGGTTGTTTGTTGAAATGTACTTCCCTTTTTTGTGAGGATCTGTTATGTTCAGATCGAGCCTCAGCTCCTCCCACTAACAGGGACATGCTGTTCTCCTGCTTCCCAGTGACGCCAATGCCCCCTTCGCCCAGTGGAGCACAGAGCGGGTGTGCACATGGCTGGAGGACTTCGGCCTGGGTCAGTACGTGATCTTTGCCAGGCAGTGGGTGACTTCTGGCCACACTTTACTGACAGCTACCCCTCAGGATATGGAAAAGGTAAGGGCTGAGCCCTGGGTGAGAAAGCTCCCATTTCTCCCCAAACCAATGCCTGGGGAGGTGAGGCCCCCTGCTCCTCCACCCCCTGCCCAACACACACAATGGATGGAGGAGCCCAAGAGACTCCCTCTGTCACTCCAAGTTCATCCCTGGGGGCTGTGCAGAGGTCCCTTGCCACACTCCACCCAGGTGGAATGTCTACACTCAGACACGGCATCCTCTGGGGGCCAAATTGATTTCCAAAATTTCACATCTGTCTTCATATTCCAATTTCAGGAGCTAGGAATCAAGCACCCTCTTCACAGGAAGAAGCTGGTTTTAGCAGTGAAAGCCATCAACACCAAGCAGGAGGAGAAGTCTGCACTGCTAGACCACATTTGGGTGACACGTAAGGACAGGCATATGTTAGGTTTCTGGCAGCTCCTCAGGGTAGACAGAGTTTCCCTGTGAATGAGTACTTCAAAGACAGCTGTCTTCTTGGGAAAGGCAGATGGATTATTAAACCTTATGGGGAATACAGCTGGAGCTTCAAAATGATAATTTGATGACTTCTTTTTTTTTGGCATCCACATTCTCCCATTCTCATGAATCTTAACACACTTGTTTCTTCCTGTTTTTGTAGGTTGGCTCGATGATATTGGCTTACCCCAATACAAAGACCAATTTCATGAATCCAGAGTTGATGGACGAATGCTGCAATACTTAACTGTGGTGAGGATTTCTCCTTTCAATATTTCACTTGTCCCTGTGGGCATTCAGCTCAGGTGTCCCTATAGTGGTTACTTTAAACTTGATTCCACCACCTCCCTCATATTTTTAAGGTCTTAAAATAGCATCGTTTGCCACATAAAGAGGTCCCAAGTAGCAGAGTACAAACCCCTGTGCTAAGAAAAGCTGTTGGTGTGTCCATGTGCACCTTCCTGAGATGTGGTAGACTTGTCTGTGTTTGGTCTGGGAAGGAACCTCAGGGGTCTTTTGTCACTTTGGAAACTCTGGTTCATTAACCAAAACTTTCCTCTTCCAGAATGATTTACTCTTTTTAAAAGTCACCAGCCAACTACATCATCTCAGCATCAAATGTGCCATTCATGTGCTCCATGTCAACAAGTTCAACCCCCACTGCTTGCACCGGAGGCCAGCTGATGAGGTGAGGGCAGCACACTACTACCCATCCAGGTAGCCCTGAGCCAGGACACCTGTAAGATTGGGTGTGAGAAAACAAGGATGACATCATCATGAAATGGCTGCATTTCAGACCACAGTGCTTGGGATTCTTTCATTTGCTAGTGCTTCCAGGTGCCCCAAACACCTCTGTGCCCTGTACAATATGACCCACAACAGCCACTAGACCTCCAAGCCCCCACCTTCCTTGGCAGACACATGCTGTGGTTCAGAGGGTCATAGCAGCGAGTCTTTCAATGCCATCATAGTGATGAAAGGAGAGGAGGAAATGGTGCAAAGGAGAGGGAGGGGAAAGACGAAATGGAAAGATGGGTGTCAAAGTAGGCAGAGGAGAGGAGAGGAAGGAGGAGCCCATACGGAGCCAGACATTTTGGAGTAGTTCTCCCTACTGGTAGATATAAAATTAACCAACCTCCAGTGCCAGGTGCACAGGGTATCCATGAGCAGGTTTTGCTAGAGAAGAAATAGTGTAGGTAAACATGGCAACCCAGATCCTGGAGGATCCTTGATATTTTCCAGGAACTCTGGAGTTTTTGGTGGGCCCTCAAGCTAAAGGGTTATCAGTCATACCTCATCTCCTATATTCTAAGGAACTAAGTCTAACCCTGCTGTAAGATTAATTTAGCTTCCTGAGGGATTAAAATCTCATATCTCTGCCCTCCATCTCCTTTTTTTCCCCTATTCAACAAATATATTTTGAATGCCTTCTATATATCAGGCACAGTGCTGGGCATTTTCAAGACCCAGATGCCACTTGAGGGCACTTAGGCACAAGGATCTTAATGTATGCCCTCCTAAAATATTTGCCCACACCAGGAAGATCTTTTATCTATAAGACACTCAGCTCATAATTGATAGTCCTCTTTATAGTTCTGTTGAATCATTGAATGAATGATTATATGCCTTTAGGGACTATTAGTTCCAAAGTTAACCAGAGAATTAGGGAATAACAGGATTCTGGAATCAGATATCTCAGTGTAGAGGGTCCTGTAAGATTCACTGGAGAGCTCTTTTTCCTTGGAAACTTGGAAGGCTCTCAGGCAGCTGGTCTGGCTGCCTGGGTCATTTGACGTGAGGGTCATCTGGCGAGGCATCTGGGGCAGGCTTATTCACAGGGGCTGTCTCCACGGAGAACCATGGTAGGGCCTGTTAGACCTAACATCTACACTCTCCTTCTCCCTCTCACAGAGTAACCTTTCTCCTTCAGAAGTTGTGCAGTGGTCCAACCACAGGGTGATGGAGTGGTTGCGATCCGTGGACCTGGCGGAGTATGCGCCCAACCTTCGTGGGAGTGGTGTCCACGGAGGTCTCATTGTGAGTGGCTCTTTGGACTAGCCCATCTGTCTTGGTGCAAACTGATGTCTTAAGGGCTAGACATAAATCCTAGAAAAAACACTGATAGTTCATCTGAAACCCTTGCATAAATTGAAGTCTCAAAGTATTTTGATAATTTGTGGTTAAGAATTAACAGACTTCATGGACACACAATGGCTTCTGAAAGGACTTCCCTGGCAGCAGACCCAGAGGATTCCAGGACAAAGGGGTTGCATGAGAATCCACCCTTAACAAGGCAGCTCCGCCTGCTGCCAGAGGAACATGAGGGCTGGGGAAGTGGGGGCCGGGGGGCACCAAAATATAACTTCCTGCTTGTCATGATAGGATCTGTACTGTCACTCAGATCTGTCAAGTGGCAGAGTCAGCAGGGAAATGAGGAAGGGGTGGCTTGGATGTCCTCCAGAGTGGACCCTGGGAGACAGCCTTATCCACCAGGTCACAGTTCGCTGCTGGTCTGTGAAAATGAGGTAGTCAGTCAATAAATGTGCTAGTGTCTCCTCAGAGCCAGACCCTATGCCAGGTAGAGAGAGGAGTGGGACACAGTATAAGTGGACGAGCTTCAGCCCTGCCCTGGAGGGATACCCGGGCCCACAGGGGCCCATTTCTCAGTGTCACTACCTGGAGCTATCTGAGGTCACCACTGAGTGGCTTTGTCTGTGGTTTCTTCTTAGATCTTGGAGCCACGCTTCACTGGGGACACCTTGGCTATGCTTCTCAATATCCCACCACAAAAGACGCTCCTCAGGCGCCACCTAACCACCAAATTCAATGCCCTGATTGGTCCTGAGGCTGAACAGGAAAAGCGTGAGAAAATGACCTCACCAGCTTACACACCACTGACCACCACAGCCAAAGTCCGGGTGAGTTGCCATACCCTTTCTGGGGTAGTCACAGAAGCCTCCCTTCTGGCGCTCATGTTGTGCAGCAGCTGACCCAATACCTAGAGCCAAACCAGGGTGTGCTGCCTGGACAAGGAGGCTCTTGGCTTCTTCCTTGGGACCTTGTTCTCATTGTCTGTTAATCTTTGTCAGGCCAGCTCCCTGCCACTCCTGAGCCTAAGAGAGTGCAGGTTTCTTTACACAGAAACTATGTGTAGGAAGCATCTGTTCTCAGGCAGCTAGGAGTCTGTCCTCTACCCCAATACTGCCTTGACTTATCTTACAAAGCAGATGAATTCTTGAGTCTGCTTCTCTTCAATCAGGCCCATCTTCATGCCACACTGCCCTGGGGGATCTTTGTCAAAGCTGTCCTGCCAACGCAGACAGTGATCCTCTTGCCAGCTGCCCTGGTAGCTTTGTAGCTGTCCAGAGGTCCTGAGGTCATCAAGTACCAGCACCACTCACTGGGGGTCTCTGAATCCCACAAAGCCCATTCAATCTGCCTGAGCCACACCATCCTCAGACCCTGGCCTTCCCAGACTGCAGGCCCACTGACGAATCTCTGGAGCCCAGACTGGCCCTGTCCTCAGCAGCATGGTGATGCCTCAGGTCCAGCTAGAATGCAGACTTCCCCAGGCGAGCAGGACAGGAAGCGTGTCTGGGGCAGACAAACAGACACAGTGCTGGGTGAAGTTACAGCAAGGAGGAAGGGCCACCTAGGGCTGTCCAGTGTGGCTTCCTGAGGGCACGAGGCACTATGAGTGGAAGGAAGGGAGTGCTCCCCCGTGTGGTGGCAGCAGCTGTGGTGGGGCAGGTCTTCTAATGTGGCATCCTCTAGGAATTCCCCGTCCCCTTGGGGAAATAGGAACATGATCAGTTGGGACAGAAGGGCATGAGGTTCAGACACAGTCTTGGAAAAGCAGCTTTCCTTGTTCAAGATTATTTATCTGTTGATCTTTGCCCAGCATAGAAATTGCTTCAGGAGCTCTGTTTTGTTAAACAGAGTTTTTCTAGAAGCAGTTTGCCTCATGGGGCTGCTCTTAAATGTATTGTCAGTCATGTCTGCACACCAGCTTGATAATCTCCTTCTCATGATCTTGCATTTGCTGTGTTTTAGCCAAGGAAACTAGGATTTTCACATTTTGGAAATATAAGAAAAAAGAAGTTTGATGAATCGACAGACTACATCTGCCCGATGGAGCCCAGTGACAGTACTGGTGACAGTCACAGGGTCTACAGTGGCTACCGGGGCCTCAGCCCCCTTGATGCCCCTGAACTGGATGGGCTGGACCAGGTGGGACAGATTAGCTGATGCCCTTGTCACCTGTCCTCTCTGTGCACACTGAGAGCTCACAGTAACACCATGTGTGTCACCATGTAACTGCACCTCACCCCCCGCACAAGTGCATGCCTCGCAGAGAACATTCCAGCAATTGTGTACCCCTGGGCCAGTCTCTCTCTGAACCCTGAGGGTGGCCAGGGTATGGAGTTGCACTTTTGCCAAGGGGCCAGGCTTTGGGGACTGTTGCCAAAGGTGGACTCAGGAGGAAAAACACTTAAAGATGCGCGTACATTTTTAGTAATTCTTAATGTCCGTCTTCAGCACCAGTGGAAACACACAGACTTGGACACAGGTCCAGAGACCATGGACGGTCCCAAGAGGCTCAGCTCTCAGGCCCCTCCGCTGTGTTTCAGTTAAGGGACAATCTCAAGTGCCTTAGGCCTGTGGCCACAGAGTCTTGGCTGAGACCCAAGGGACAGCAGCAGGGATTTCTGTTGCAGTGACAATGTAACTGTCTTGTGCCTTACTACAGAGGTGGTCACTTCTTTCTGGTAATAAAAACAATATTTATGTAGAAAGCAAACAGTGCAGCATATCTTTAATCTTGTTGGGGAAGACAGCTGGGCACAGCTGGAGAGGAGTCCTGCTCACTGTGCAGCTTGAGAGCCGACAGCACTGAGCCACTGCACACGCAGGATTGGCCAAGTGTCGTGGACAAGGGTTTGGAGTAATGAGGGACCTCCGGGTCCTTCACAAGAGGTCTCTGGCCTCACCACTTCAGGCTCCACCTCCCTCTGTGAAGCCGAGGGTAACCTCATGTCTCGCGCACATCCTGACTGTAGATCACATCTGCGGTACAGACCCCAAAGTTGGTTTCCATTTCAGCGGCATGAGCCACCTAGTGAAGGGGGTGGTGGGAGACAAGAAGGAGGCCTTGCTGGAAAGACCTCTTCTTACCATGTGTTTTGCCAGCTTCTCTGTTATTGAACTAGCTGGCCCATAACCCTTGGGGGTTGGTCTGTTGGCAGCGCCGGAACAGACCTGTCCTCCTGCTTTAGAGGCTGACTAACTGATAATGGGTCTTCCAGATGGGCCCTGTCTGGCCGAGGAGGGAGGGAGAGACACACCTTGGCAGTCTGGGCTCCTGCTCAGCAGATTCCTGCTTGTCCCAGGGCAGCTTTTGGCTCCACTGGGTCCTCCTGGGCCTTATCTGCCGAAGCATAATAGCAGCATCATAACTGGCGGCTGGGGCAGGGCCTGATGACCCCATAGAGGGCTCTCTGACTCTGTCCCAGATGGAGGCCATGCTAAGATTTGCTTCTTAAACTACCAGCAGCTTCAAACGTGGCCTGTAACCTCAGGCCATGGCCTCCTGGCCTTCCCTGAAGTTCAGTAGTGAGATGTGGACACAAGCTGGCCGGTGTTTGATCCCAGTGCCCAGGACCTCTGCATGACAGGTGCTCCTCAAGGCTGACACCTGGGCATTGCTGTTGTAGAGCCACCATCAGGGCAGCTGTGTCCCTTATTTCTTATCGTGTCCTGGGGAGAATCCATGCATGCTCCGGTTTTCCAGCTCTGAATGGAATTATCTCATTAATTCTTTGTTCAGTCTCAAGCAAGGCCTCTTGGCCTTTGTGTCAGTTTTCCTGCCTGTAAAATGGTTATACTTGATGCCCTCAGAGGATGCTTCCAAATCTACACAATCTAAATAGGTTTAAGGAAGAAGGAGCAGGCCAGCATTACCTGAGGAGGGGAGTGAGGGCAGGTCCTGGCAGTGAGGAAGCTCCATGAGCAGCTCCCTGAGGATGCCCACCTATACCTATACCAGGGTATCAGGGTCTGGAGTCATGCTGGTGCCAGAAACTGCCAGTGTATTCAGCATCCTGAAGGCCTTCATCCCTTCCTCTCTACTCCTGGAATAGCTGGAGCACTGAACACATGCTAAAGGGCTGTTTCTGATATGCCTGTTTGTGCCCTGCCCCGTGTATCCTTAGTGTAGGTACTGCAGTGGGGCCCCCAGAGTGTGTGTGCATGGCAGTGTGGGATACTGTGCCCCTAGGGAAAAAGCTGTTTTCCCCTAGGGGCAGAAGCAGCATGTGCTTCACCTGTCATTCTTCAGGGCCTGGCCCATTCCTTGCCCACTCCTCCAGGGAAGCATGCCTGAGCAGGACAGAACTTGCATGCCATCTCTGCAAATGACAAGCTGAGTCTGTGTGTGCTGACTGGGCTGCTGCCCATTTTACAGATGGCTCCTTCAGAAGGCACTGTGACGCAGATAGGGCTCCTCTCCCAAGACATTCACCGCCTCACGGTAGGACTCTGACCCTCTCTCCATAGTAGGACAGGTGTCAGGGAAGCACCCTGGTTGGTGTGGTCGTGCACAAGGCCTGGGACAGCCCTGTCCCTACTACAGAGCCTATATCATCAGCACTTCTGCTAGGGTAGAGCAAAGGATGGTGCTGGTGCTGGGGCCAGTCCTGAGAGAGAAAGTGGCTCAGAGGCCTCTGTTGGCACATTGTTGGGCCTTGTGCTGCCAAGGGCATTGGGAGGGGTCATGGGGCTTGAGCTGAAGCTAGATCTCAGGTCCTCTTCCCAGGCTTAGAGCTGGTAAGGAAATCAGCAGCTCTGGGTCACCTGCCTAGTCATCTTTGGCCTGGGGACACTATTCTGCCCTCTCTGTTAATGAGACACACGTATTTCCTATTACGCCTCTGACTCCTTGGATATCACAGGAATGTGAGCACATCCTGGCTTCCCCACTGAGGACAGACCATACCATGGGGGGGCAGCTTGGTCTCAGGGGGAGAGGAGCCACTCTGGAGTGAGGCCAACCTTGTTTAAGCCCCTGCCCTGGGATGCAGGCAAGTCCTCTCTCTGAGCCCTGGCTTAGTTATCTGAAAAGCAGGGCTAATATCCTCCTTGCAAGACTCACAGGCAGACTAGAGCTGGCAGTAAAAGGCCAGTGACAGAGAAGGTTCACATTTTTGAGGCGGTATACCTTCCAAGGGCATTAGTTCCTGGACTGCCCCATCACTAAGCCCACTGGCTGGAGTGACTGCCCCCATTGAGGCCCCCATCACTGTGCTTTGCTTGTTGATCTATCGAGGCATATTAAGAAAGCTGTATCCAAGGGCAAGACCAGGGGGGTCTCTTAATCCAAACAGGATCACTTTTATTCAACTTTCTTTTCTTGGCTCACACACTGAAATGAGTCCACCCAGCCTTGCCCTTATCACCTCAAATAGACCTTTGGTGGCCCTGACATAGCAACTTTACCTCTAAGCTATGAGCAATCTATCCTTATCTTGATAGCGTCTATTCTGACTCAAAACGTGGGGTCCCTGGGACACCATGAACTTACAGGGTACTGTCAGATGGGACCACACCCAGTGCCCTGCTGCTTCCCACGTGGCTTCCCACGTAGGCAGCCTTGACCAAAACCCTGTTCAACTGCCCCTTTGACTGTGTCCTTTCAGACTATGCTGAGCCAGGACCAGCTGCTGAATGACTCTCGCCTGGTTGCTCCCAACTGTGAGGACTGGAGATGACTTTCTTCATGGCTGAGAGCCCAGACAGGCACGTGTGGGGGCCTTGAGCCTTTGCTTCAATGGGGAACTGGAACACAGCCACCTCCAGAGCCCAGGCTGTGGCTGGCAGGGCATCTGGGACATGGGTGTTGGCAGGAGTGAAGCGGGGCTGTGGAACAGACGTCCAGGAGGGGGCCCCAGTGTCCCTATGTGTTTTCAACCATGCTGTGCTCCTCACCACAGCTTTTATACCTTTTGTACTTTCATACGTGGACTGCAGACCACTCTTGTGGGAAGGGCAATGTGACATCAGCACAGACTCAATGGCTTGTGCTGTTCCTGGTAACAGCTACAAGGCTCTTACACCAAAGGGGAAGGGCTAGTAGTTCATAAAAGCTCTGCTGGAAGAAGGTTCTGAGAAAATGTTCTGTAGTGACTGAACTGGGTGGAATGATACTAGGGAGCCCCTCCTGTGCTGCTTCCATACAGAAGCACATATTTCCCAAGTGCACAGAAACCTGGCTGAGGTGAGGGTGTTTAGGGTGAGAGGAGGGAAGGAGCAGTGAGACTCCTTCCCACTGTCCTGGCTGCCCTGAGTCTACCCTCCTCTACAGTGGGTGTCTCCGGTTCCTCAGTGCTGTAGGCCTCCAGCATCTGAGCAGAGGCGTCTCCAGCAAACACGCGCTCAGGGCCTTCTCCTTCCCCCATAGCTGACACATGGAGAACAGTCTCCAAAGCCTTCCCCCCATCAGCCTCAGATGATCAAACAGCTCCCCCTTGTGGAAGGCCCTTGGGCAACCCAAGTCATTTCCACCACAACTCACCATCTCCCAGACAAGCCTGGTACCTCCCTCAGGGAGGGTCGCCCACACAGTCCCCTCTCAACCAATCTTCCCCTTTAGTGACCAGCCCCTTCCTCTTCCTCCCTGTGAAGGCTCTGGCCCTAGGCCTCATCTGATTTCCACAGCTGGTCTCCTCCAGACAAAGTACCCCATCCCCAAAGTTGACCTTCCCAAAGCTCTGTTTTAATCCTGTTAGCTTTCTGCTGAGAACTCCTCAGTTCCAGAATTACCAGAGTAGAGTTCAAAACTTTAGTCAGCACCTGAGGCTTTCTGACTCTTTCAGGCTTCATGAACCTGCACTCCAGCCTCTGCTCCTGCTTTTCCCTCACTATGGGATGTCTTTTCCTCCTCGTCTCTGTCACAAGGCCAAATCCTGTCTGTTGAGGCCCAGAAAAGACATACCTTCTCAGGAAGCCTTCACTGGTGTTTCATTTGCAGGTCTGTGTCCTACAGTGCCATTTGCCCTTGAGCCCGAGCTCACCTCGAAGTAATGTGTCGTCTTTCTCCCATACCATATGCACCTTCAATGCACACTCAGCAAGCACCTGCCACAAGTGGGCTCCTATACAGATAGGAGTAAAACCCAATACTGGTCCCCATGCTGCTATGTTCCCAGCCACTCACTCCTTCAAATGCGCAGGTTAAGTATGTTCCATGCTGGGCTAAGGAGGGCTAGAGATATAGGCACGATGCCAAGAAACACAGTTGGTGATGGTCTAGTGGGGGAGACGAGTGCACTGAACGTTACAGATGCTCCGGAGAAGTCTCCACAGCTCAAAACAGCAAGTTGTCATTTTTAATGGAGGGCTGGGGGCGGAGACTGAAAAGGCTTCAGTGATGAGGTGATACTTGCATTTTGAAAGATGAATCAGGTTCCCCAAGGGTGCCGGGGGGAAAGGCACTCCAGGAGGCAGACCTGAAACATCCCGGCACATCCTAGGAAGTGCCCAAAGTGGGTGTGATTGGACCGAAGTTTCTCAACCTCAGCACTGTTGTCATTTGGGCTGGATAATTTATGGTGGTGGGGGCTGTTCATGGGCTGTAGGACATTTAGCAGCATCTTTGGCCTCTCCCTCTAGATGCCAACAGCACCCTTCCTCTAGCTGTGACAACCAAAAATGTCTCCAGACTTTGCCAGTTGTTCCTGGGAGGGGCAAAATCACCTTGAGTTGAGAAGCATGGGGCCAGAGAATAGGGTCAGAGTGGGAGGCTTGGAGAAGGGAAAAATCTAGTGAGGTCAACTGTAGCCAGATCAAGAAGTGCCTTGTAAACCAGCCTCCTGGAATTTGTCCTGGAGACATGGGCGGTCGGTCAGGTGGGGACCAGGGTGAAAAGCAGTGAAAGGGGATAAGCATGGTAAGATTTGTGTTTATGAAAAATATCTGAGGATTAAGGTCTTACTTTGTGTGCGGTGCCCAGCAGAGCCTCTTTCTCCAAGTAGGGGATTCACTGAGGATGAGCTCACCAGCAGATGGATGGCGGCTAGCCGCCTCCCAGCACCCCCACTCTGCTGGCCCTCTGTGAGGCCATCCCTGGTTTGGCATCCTGTGGACACTGTACGGCTGTAAGAGAGTTCTCTAGAGCCATGTTCTTCTCTCTCTCCTGTACCCCCCCCCCACACACACACACAGACATACACGTTTAGAGAGAGATCCAAGCAATGCTGCTACTATGCCAGTTTTTGTGAAAAGGGAATGACTTGGAATTAAGCAGGCCCAGGTCTGCTCCCTACCAGCTGAATGACTTGGGGACAGTAACTTCATCTCTGACCCTCAGTTTCCTCATCTATAACTTGCAGAACAAAATCCCCACAGAATCCCTGGTTTCTGAGAATTATATGAAATAAACCGCAAAAGTGTAAAAGCAGTTCTACCTACTCACAGGTAACACAGAGCGGCAGCGTATCATCCTGGCCAAGAACGGCAGAGGCGATAGTGGTTACCTGTATCACTCGGGTTTAGTGGTATGAAGGATTTAATGAATAGCTTCTGGGACCTAGTTCTGTTTGCAAGTTCAGAAGCTTCTGTACGTATCCACCCCTACCCTGGCATACCAGAATGGGGCCTGGCATTTAGAGGATGCTGAAAACAAACAAAAAAAATGTGCCCCTTGCCTCCATTTGTTGTGCAAGGTACAGGGAGTCTAGGATTCTTGAAGCCCAACTACCCTATGGCTTTACTACTGCCCTGATGTGTGTGTTTTCAACACCATTCCCATTTCAAGGGCCTCCCACAAGAGAAGGAAGAGCGCACGTGGAGGGTGCCTAAGCCTTCTAGTAGGCTTAAAAACAGAACACTCTGGAGAGCGAGGTTCAAGAGAGATTACTGGGAGTTGATGTGACCCCACTTGGATTCTTCTGGAATTCTGCCCTGGCACTTTTGCTAGTTCTGACCTCCCATGGACACACAAAAGCCAACTGATATGGAGGACAGGCCTTCAAACTGCCTAGTCGGTCCCCCACAGAGCCACACCTCATGGGCTGTCTGCTTTGTACTGAAGTTTATTTCACTAAACTAGAGAAAAAGATACTGAAATGGAGTTCCTTCAAGCCTCCCAAGCAAGGAGGCCTCAGAAGCCACTTTATCTCCAGCTCCTTGAACCCTTCTTCTTAGGCCCTCACCCAACAGAGAGGAGTGCTACTGTGCCCAAGGGTACATCACAGGGCACTTTTGAACACATGCCAGTTTAACATGCTGAAACTGAACTCACTTTGAAACAGATGAAAGAGACCAGGCAAGTTTGCAAAGAGTGAGGGAGGTGCTAGTAGGTGAAAATCCTGTCCTTGGTATAACCCAGTGTCTCCAGGTTAGGGTGAGCAGCTGTCTGGATCAGGGCTAGAGGCCCACACACCAGGATGAACGTTGACTTCCCAGGAGGAGGGAGGTGTTCCTTGATCATGTCAGCAGTAATGAAGCCTGAGCTGTACTTCCAGCCTGAGATTAAGCAGAAGCAGAAAAAGCTGGGGGGCGGGGAAGGGCAAGTTCCTGACCCCTGGCCTCCCTCCCACCCTCCCTCACACCAGGGAGAGGGAGGCAAGGCTGCTCTCCATGGCTTAGAAGTCGGCACCGCTGTTACCTGCAGAAAGCTGGGAAGTGGAGGACATGGGGGTGCCCAGGCAGCCCTCTTCAGTGTTCTCCTCAGATTCCAGGCTCACTGCTGGTGTCTGCCTGCAGTAAGCACTGGCGAGGATGGGGATCATGACAGTGAGGTGCGATGTACTGAGGTGTGGTGTGAATCAAGGCAGTGAACGGGAGCTGTGCAGGGCCGTGTGCTGTGGGGTTTATGGACTGGCTCAGTCAGGCAGTGCCCTCTGCTGGGCAGTGGGCTGGTTGACAAGGTGGTGGCCATGTGGGGTGTGGTGTGCATGGTTGTGGCTGGGTGCTGACTGGGGCTCAGCATGTGAGGAACGGCTGTCCAGATGAAGGGGTCCATGGCTGTGTTAGACAGTGTGTGTGATGGCTGTGGGATGCCGTGTAGAATGCAGTGTAGGATAGCTATTCTGCAGGACCCAGTGCTTCAGTGTCCCTCCTGATGTTCACTGCAGTGTGTGGAGTGCTGCTGAGATATCAGACACCTGCCCCAGACTGCCCTTACCAGCAGGTTGTCCCAAATCCTCTCTCCCTCAAATTCCTGCATTTCCCACAGGGAGACAGAGCCAAAGGTCTCAGCCCCTAAGCTCAGTCCTAAAAAGCAAACCAACAAACCTAGGGACTAGTTTCTCAGGTGGGTCAAGGGTTGGAGCTGACCCACAGTGGGGACAATGGGGATCGTACCAACTGGAGGCCTATCCAGGGTGTACCACAGTTTGAACTGGTCTGGATGAGTTCTGGCAACTTCTTCAAGCTCCTTCCTCACCAAGATATCCTCCTCTGTCTAGAAAAGAAGCAACATGAGCAAAGCCCCTGCAGGGCCATCCTGCTTGTTCCTCAGACTGAGCACACAGGTCAGCACATTCCTGCCCAAGCTGCCATCACTCTAGCCGAGTGCTCGCTGCAGACCCCCAGGACAGAGGAGAGCTCTGCTGTGGCTCCTGCACAGCAAACCCTCTCCTCTAGGTGGAGGAGTTGGGAGGCTCCCGCAGAGCTGCAGTGTCTGCCCTCCAGCTCGAAGGCCATGGCTGAGCCCACAGGGTGGGGTGGCTTCACTCAGAGGTCCCAGCCCTACCTCCTACATCCATACTGAGCACCAGACATGGCAGACCCCCTGGAACAGGCTTAGTAAGGGCCCAGGACCTTCTGCAGGGCATGTGAGGGGCTAAGGCAGACATACATAGTATAATATAGAACACAACGGCTGGAAAGTTAAAGGAGAGGAAAACAAAGGCTGGAGCCTCATTGGGGAAAAGGGAGCCAAAGCCAAAAGGAACTTGTCACAGGCTCAGAGATAGTGCACAGAAGACCTGGATCTTAAAACTTCACAATGCTTGTCCCAGTAATTCCACTTCTGGGATTCTGTTTAAGAAAATAATCTAAAAGTCATCAAGCCTAGGCACAATATTCATCACTCTATCACTTATAACTGTGAAAACTGAAAACAACCTAAATGTAGAAGATTAAGTAAATTATGGTACAACTTGATAGACTATGATGAAAATATTTATAGAGTTTTAATGAGAAGAAAATGCCTATGTGGTAATGTTGAGTGAAAAAACAAAACAAAACAAATATATATATATATAACTGTAAATATATAGCATGTATACAAACAAGATAAAAAATAAATATATGCTTCTGTATTTTCCAAAATTTCCACCAAGGGCATCTATGATTTTATACTCAGAAAAACACAGAACGATCTATTAAGGAAGGAAGAAAAGTTTAGTGCATAGGGTTAGCTGGGGAGACAGAAAGTTAAAAAAAAACAAAAACATGGAAAAACAGGCCTGGATTCAGCCTTGCCTGAGCTGAGCCTATGAAGCCCTGGCACGGCCGCAGGCCCCTAGCAGCCTGAGCTCCGTCAGTGGGAAGGAATGAATGCTCAGCAAACATTCCATCCTGCCCCTCCTGGCGCAGGGCTGACTCAGCAGAACTGACCTGGTTGGCAAAGATGAGGGACATCGTGGTCGTGTCACTGGGGTTCTTGGTGATGTGGCGAATGAGCTGCAGCATGGGGGTAATCCCTGGAACACAGTTAGGGGGCAGGCCAGCTTTCCCTCCCTTTCTGACGCCCACAGTCCCTGGTCTGTAGCAGCTTATGTTTTCCTTGGCCCCAATTCTACCTTTCTCACTTCTGTCCCCAAAACTCAAAGTGAGGAACTGCCCTTCATTTTGGTCTTTCCTTCTAACACAACAATAAATCAAAAGCCCTTTCTCATTTTCATGCGGCAAGACGGAAGCAGCACTGGTTTTGGAAGTTGAACTGGATGTCACACCCAGTGCCCTTGCTGTCTGACCAGGGTGTGTCAGGTACTCGTCTGAGCTCTGCAGTGCCCTCACTTGTAAAACAGAATTAATGAAGAGTAAATGTGGTAGTTTTAAAAGTGACTATTATGGTGCCTGGCACGTTGTAGGTCTCCTTACAAGTTTGTTCTCTTCTTTCAGGCATTCATTTTCAAAGGAAGGGGAGTCAGGCTTGAACAGGATCCAGGAGCCCTTGGGGACCATGTGTGGGCCTGCCCAGTCTGGTCCCCAGATTCTTCCATGTTCCCCAGCCTGACTTTCGAGGCTCCCCATGAGTTCCCATCTCAAACAGCCAGGGAAGGAATCTCTCACATCACACCCTATAGGATCAAATGACTCCAAAGTCAGAAACATCTCAGGGCTCACCCTGTGGATGAAGCCCCCAGAAGCCTCTTACCTGTGCCCCCAGCAATCATTCCCAGGTGATGGGCCAGCTTTTTTTCAGTCTCACATGTTTTCTGTGGTCTGATTGAAAACTTCCCTGGAAACACAAGAGGATACATCTGACTTCTGCAGCTCTTGCCTGAGAGCCTGCAAAAGATCACTGACTTTCCTTGGGACGCCCAGGAAAGGAGAAAGGACTCCTCCTAAGGAAGTGGCTCCACCATTCTAGGTCAGAGGAGCAGGCCAGGGTAGCCTCCATTGCCAGCCCTGTTGTACCAGTGCACAAAGTGGGAATAGAGCCTGGACCTCCTTGGGGAATCACTGGCCCTTTCCTTCTGAGGGAGGGAAGCACACTGAAGTTAATATAGAGCCTCACAGAACACTCCCACTCACAGCAGTCAATGAGTGAGTAAATGATGAATATGTGAATAAATGAATGAGCATGGACTCCATCCATCCATCCATCCATCTTTCAGCATTAGCAGGCACCTTTTATATATCGAGCATTGTGCTGGAAATACAGTGATGAGGGAAAAACAAGTCACTCCCCTACCTTAATGAGGCTTACAATCTTGTAAAGTGGGTGTGTGAATGAATGTTGAAGACTTTAAGGATAAGTCGATGGGACTCAAATCTGAGGAATTTTCTAGAACAATGGAAGAACTGCAGGAATGTTCTTCCTCCCCAGATGGAGGTCCAGTATGAACCCCCCACCGCCCCCACCCGTACCTAGCCCATGATAGAACAGGCGCCCAGTTGGCCCTCGAAAAAAGATGGTGTCTCCAATTTTCATGTTCTCCAAGTACTGCGTCATCTTCCCCCCTTCTGGATAATTGGGGTGTACGTTTTTGAAGTAGATCTGAAAAATAAGGCAGCACAGTTTTCACACCCTCAGACCACAGCTGCACACGACTCAAAAATGCGTTTGACACTGGAGCTATGCAGAGAAAATCCTCTGCACTCATAATTGCTGTAAGCAAACCCCAAAGACATCACCAGGTTGACAGCTTCACTGTTAAATGCCACTGCTGGAAAGCCATGTCCAGGACATGTCCTTTCTCCACCCTACCACCCTTAACTGGCTTGTGAGGGTGAGGCAGCTGGACATGGTGGGCATCATTTACCTTTATAATTAAGTCCACAAAGCCTCGATCATCATCACTGGACACAGGCGTATAAGCCCTGACCACCATAACACCATCAATTGTGGCTAAGAGATGGACATAGTTACCTGCAGAAACGGCATCAAATGTTAAGTCTAAGCATGGCCGGCCTAAACAGGACCCAGGATTCCCGTAAAGGACTGAGCTTCAGGGAGGTGGGTGCATAGTGTGGCAGGTGCATGGGAGGAGGGCCAAGTAGGGAAGGAACCCAAACTCAGGATGCCTGGGTCCTAGGCCTGCCCTTGTCACTGTGTGCAAGCCTGGGCAAGTCACTTCACCTCTCGGTGAATGGGGACGGTAAACCTGCCCTCCCTCCATCATAGCGTAGTTGTGAGTTTCACGTACAGGAAACCAACTGCCCGTACGTGCTTACTGTGTCAAAGTATGTTGTGGAGCAGGAAGGGCTAATTAAAGTTGAAGCCTGAGTATTAAAAACTACAGAAAGGAGTGTTTCCTTCTTAAAGCAAAATATATTGCCTTCACAAAGTCATTTCTTCCTAAAGCGGATGTATCACTGGGGTCTATGAATGAGTCACAGCCCCCTCATCTGTATCCTGCTGCCTGGTACAGAACAGGCCTGGGCTCACAGGTATGCAGGCCCCCAGGATTTGGACACCCATGGACCAGGAGTTCTAGAAAGAACATTGTCTCTTCCTCACCTGATGGCTCTGCTGAGGGAAAGCAGTAAAGTTTGTTTTTTTTTTAATTTTTTTTTTATTTTTAAGATTTTTATTTTTTCCTTTTTCTCCCCAAAGTCCCCAGGTACATAGTTGTATATTCTTCGTTGTAGGTCCTTCTAGTTGTGGTATGTGGGACACTGCCTCAGCGTGGTTTGATGAGCAGTGCCATGTCTGCGCCCAGGATTCGAACCAACGAAACACTGGGCAGCCTGCAGCAGAGTGTGCGAACTTAACCACTGGGCCACGGGGCCACCCCCGAAAGTTTTGAACCATGTAATTCTGCCCCTCAAAGGTAGAAATGAATGGATCAGCTATGGCCTGAGAACTACAGATCATGACTACATCCCAGTGTCACATGATGGGCTGGGCCGCTCAGATTTCTGTTGCATCTAACATGGGAGCCTTCAGTGACTAAGGCAGTTAGTGGTGAGGGCAGAAGCTGCAATCAAGAGCTGCTATGAGACAGAAGCAAGAGGAAGTTCTGCGCCAGAGTACCTGAGGGAGTAGAAACTGTGTACGCACAAGATACGCAGAAAGAAGTGAGACATTTGGGGGGCTGGGGAGGGGGAGGAGAATGCTGAAGGGGCCAGCCCTTCCAGTTGCTTCTGGAACACAAGCCTGCCTTTGAGGACGCATTGAAGCCTGAGGTGCAAACACTCTGGGTTAAGAAAGGACAGGCTCATTGACAGGCACCAGGGATACTCAGGAATAAATGCCTGAGGCAGCTTCCCTGTGAGAACTAATCTGAAACTGCAAACCTTAGAAAGGCTCTTTTAGATGCAGCCAACCTAGGCCTGGGGTGGCAGTGTGTCCAGAGAAAATGGGGCTGCCTCAGCCGGTCCCTTAGGCCCCACCTCTAACCAGCTTCATTTCAGCAGAGCTGGGAAGCATCTGCAATCTCTGAGTCCTCAAAGCAGCCTCGCCGAGATGCCTCTAAATTACCTTGACTCACTAACTTTGCACTGCCTACACCAGGGCTGAGGAGAGAGTGGGTCTAAGTGGCAGATTCTAAGAAATTCTTTTTCTCAAAGTTTTCCTTCTTTTAGCCTCATTGCTAACAGGACTGGTCCCACAGGTCAGGCAGAGGACTGGAAGGCAGGCTGACACAGCTCTCACGGATGGAGAAAGACAGAGGAAGCAGCAAGGAGGCTCAGGGGCCAGGCTGGCTGCCTAGTGTGTAATTTCATCACCTGCTAGAGGTAAGGTCGAGGTTTTGTCCCATGCACACAGGACAAGTAGGCCATGGATTAGGATCTCCACCAGGCAGGAGAGTAACACTAGCAGTTTGTACAAAGCTCTGGATCCCCAGGCTGTGGACCTAGCAGAGGTTTACTACTTCACTAAGACTGACTCAGCCATCTGTGGTGTTGCAGACTAGAAACGAGATAACTCAGAACTCTAGGAATGCTAGGGCTGGTATTCACAATGGGTCCCTTCTTATGTGGATATGAGGCCCCTGCTGAGAATCCAGGTGATGGTGGTGGGAGGCACCTGATTCCCTCCTGCCTCTCCACACATTCTGGGCTTTTCCCGACTGTAGGGGAACATCAGTTCCTCCCATCCCTCCCAATGTGCACAGTACTTTTGCAGTTTCTGAATCTTCACATCCCTCAATCACTTTACCCTCACAAAAACTGAAATGGCAGGCAGGCCTGGGAAACCCTCTTTCATAGCCTGAGGCTCAGAGAGGAAGGACTTGCCTAAGATTGCCCAGCAAGGAGCCTGCAATGAGATCTTAGACCCTCTTACTCTAGACTCACTTCTTTTCAATGCTCATTGAGATAGCACTTTTGTATCAGTCCTAACTGAACAATGAGAAAGGGAATGGACTGTCCCCAAGCCCATCTCCCTAGTTCTCTGAGTTCATGTGTCTCAGGAAAGGTTATCAGGGTAACCCCCGCACCCCAGCTGAGTTTCTGGTAGCAGCAGAGTGCCTGCAAGGCCCCAGTCCTGGTGATGACACCAGACCCCACTCACCTACAGGAAGCCCTAAGACGTGATCTGGCGAGGGCAGTCCAAAGCGGAACCTCCGGGTGTTGTGACTGATTTGCTAATAAAACAGAAAACAGAGGCAGGCTCTGTCAGCTTTCTAGAAGTCTTGTTGGGCAGTTCAGATGCCTGGGAAAGGAACTCCATTTAGTGCTATCCCAGCGTGTACACACACACACAATGAGTGGGGAGCAAACTGGAGGCCATGAAATGCTTGTCCCACTGCCCAGCCTTCCTGGCGACCACATTCCCCACCACTCTTGCCTTCCTCTCTTTCACCCACTGACAGTGGAGGGGGTGGGCTGACCAATTACCTCCTTCTCAATCAAGGGCAGTGGGTACTTGGTTTCAGGGTTCTGTAAGGTGATAAGACGTCTCCTTCTTGAGTTCATGCTCTTCAGGGTGAACAGGAGCACTGTAACCCCGATAACGGTGATGGCAAGGAGCAGGGATGGGTCCTAGCCAGACACAATGTGAGCAGGGCACCTCAGGTCCTGACTGCCCTAGGCAGGGTAACTCTCAAGCACAGCGTCACCCAACCCACACGGAAGGCAGAGAAGAAGCTCGGCTGTGCCTCAAAGAAACTAGGCAGAAGGAAAGGTACTTAAGGGGAAGGCAGGCTGAGTCTATAGTGGACCTGAAGGGTAGGGAAGGGTCAGCTGCAGTGAGACAAGGCTGGATGCTGCAGGTCTCCTGGACCAGTCCAGGCAGATGGCCTCGGAGTACTAATGTCACCAGGCTTTTCCTGCCCATCTGCCTCCACCCTGGCTAAAGCCAAGGGTGCAAGCCCTGGGAGTCTCCTCCTTGAGGTGGAGCGGGTGATGGCATTGCTTCTAACACAATCTGGAATGAAGGCCCCACCCCGCAAAGACAGAACTAGAGAGGGGGATGGACACCGTGTCCTCCCAGAGGTGGTTGTGGCTTTAAGCTGGGCCAGGGATGGGGCCCACCACCCAACTCCCCCATCTAGGTCCGACTAGGGCAGGGGTTGGGGTGGGGTGAATAGCTCTCACTAGGGGATGCTCCAATACCTTAGCGCCTCGGGACATCAACACCCTCCAAGGCAGAAGAACTCACCGCTGTGAACTCACCTACACACGGCTCGACCAGCCTCCCGTATCCGCCCCCAAGCCCGCCACCCCGCCACCCCGCCCCGCTAGGCGGCCTGCACGTTTCCGACACCAGCCAGACTCGGCGGGATTCGGGAAAGGTCCACCAGCCCTCTTCTCACACCAGGCGCCGAGATAACCGGCGCCGCGATAACAGGCCCCACAGCACGCCCCTCCAGCTCCGCCCGGGGCCCGCCCCGCTCCCCGCCCCGCTCCCCGCCCCGCTCCCCGCCCCGCTCCCCGCCCCGCTCCCCGCCCCTCGCGGCCCGCCCGCACCCGACGCGACGCCGGCCTCCCGGGCCTCTTTCTCCCTTGTCCCCCATTCCGGCGCCACGGGGCCCTTCTGGACTTTTCCCGGCTCCCGCCGCCTCTGCATCTCGGGCTTCGTCCCGTCGGGCCGTCCCGACTCTGGGGACCCACCCGCAACGAGACGCCGAACATGTCGTCGAAGTGGGGCGGCCGGGAGGCCGACGCGCGTCTCCCCACCCCGCAGCTCCGCCTGGCGGACGGGAGAGCCTCGCAGACCGGCCGGCCGACGCGCGCGCAGGACCGCGGGGACGCGCGGCGGACACGCCTGCGCCGACCCGACCCGCGAGGGCCCAGGGTCAGAAGGTTGTTTCTCGCGGGACTCTGGCTCTGCTCCCGCCCTGCCCCAGCGCCGCGCGCAAGCCCGGGGCTCCCACCGCCGGCCTGAGGTCCCGTGTGCAGCAGGGGCGTCCTCGCTCCTGGTGAAACATCCTTTGGTATTACGTGGCCCCTTCTCCATCCTGGTCGTCTCCTCAAACGCTCTGAGCAGCCGTGGCGGAGGACTCTCGCCCCTTAGCTTGTTTAAATTGTGGCAGAACTGGAGGAAGGGAGGGGCGATCGAGTGACTGCGAGGAATGGGATGCTGGTGTAAGAAATGGGCATTCAGCCTCCCTCAAAGAGCGTATAAATATATTCATTAGACGTACATATGAGTTCCCACTCTGAGCCTGGTCCAGGGCCAGGTGTTTGCGGGAGTGGGGAGGGTGTAATCCGGCTAAAGAAGACAGTCATTCAAAGCGCTAATTCATTTCTTCTCTTTTGGGAGAGAGATGACAAGACCCAACACTAGACCAATTGGAGGCAGAATGGCAGGCATAGACGGTTATGGGGGTTCTTCAGAGTACATTTCAGAACCTCGCCTTCCCCCATCAGTTCTTCCATTACCGGTGGCAAAGGTAAATCCCTGCCTGCTAGGCCTGAGTGAGACTGAGAAGACGAGAAAGAGATTCCCACCTACCCCCATCCCCCAAATACACGTCACTGCGGGCACATGCGTGGTGGACACCTCCCCTAGCACTCGCAGGTGCCACAATATTATTGTCAGGTGTCTTAATTTTTTACAATCTAGTGAGTGTAAAATGATGGCTTGTGAACCTAATTACATTATCTAATTGCTAAAGACGTTGAATATCTTTCATATATTTATTTCCTATGGAGATTCCTTTTCTGAAAAAAATGCCTGCTCCTGACTTTTCCCCGTTTTTCTATTGAGTTGTCTTTTTCTTACTGATCTTTAGGAGTCTTTTATATATATACTGTAGAGACCTCTTATTTGCCAATTATATCAGTTACAAACGTTTTCTCCCGGCATGCAACTTATTCTACCTTTCTTTCCTTCTCCTTCCTTCCTTTCTTCCTTCCTCCCTCCCTCCCTTACTTCCTTTCTTCTTTGATGAATAGAAGTTTGTAATTGCAATGTAGTCAAATGTATCAATCTTCAATCTTTTGCCTCTATGGTTTGTGCTTTTTGTTACTTGTCTTTTCCTTTTTTTTTTTTTTTTTTTGAGGAAGATCAGCCCTGAGCTAACTACTGCCAATCTTCCTCTTTTTGCTGAGGAAGACTGGCCCTGAGCTAACATCCATGCCCATCTTCCTCTGTTTTATACGTGGGACGCCTACCACAGCATGGCGTTTGCCAAGCGGTGCCATGTGCACACCCGGGATCTGAACCGAGGAGCCCCAGCTGCTGAGAAGCGGAACATGCGAACTTAACTGCCTTGCCACCTGGCCGGCCCCTGTCTTTTCCTACCCAAGGTCATAAAGGTGTTCCATATTTTCTCTGACAAGACCAAGTTTTTCCTTTCACATTTAAGTCTCTCAACACCTGAAACTGATTTCTGTGTATGATGTGAAACCGGGATCCAATTTCGTTTTCTCTGTATGGATAACGTGTTGTCTTGGTGATATTTATTGAATTACTCATACCTGCAGGCCACTCACCTGCAATGCCACCCCTGTCATATGTCAGTTTTCATATATGTACGAATCTGGTTCTGGTCTCCCTGTTCTCTTTTATTAATCTAGTTGCCCAAATCCTGTGGCAATACCGCACTGCTCTAATTACAATAGTTTATAACAACTGTTTATATCTCTCACTCTTATCCATTCTTTGGGTGTCAGTTCAAACATCACTTCCTTAGAGATGTCTTCTCCGGTCTGCCTATTTAAGTAGATGTACACATTACATTCTATTCATAGCTTTTATTTCAGTTTGTAATTATACATCCTGAATATTTAATTGTTAAATGGCTGACTCTCACATTAGTCTGGAAGTTCCATTATGGCAGAGACCTTGTTTCCCCAGGGCTTAGCACAATGACTGTCACATAGATGACGTTCAATAAATATTTAACAAATGAATGAATGAATTCATCCCTGCCCTGCAGGATTTAGCACACTCCCTGGCACATGGTAAATGCTTCATAAATACTGAAGAGAGGAACGATCCTTGCTGTCAGTACTCCATGCCCCTTCCTTGCTTAATTTGTCTCCGTAAGAGATATCACCAGATGACATATCACATAATTTACCTACTTGCTTACTGTCTGTCTCTCCCCACCAGAATGTAAACTCCATGGGGACAGGAATTGCTTTGTCTCTTTTAACTCCTGCTGTACCCCAGACCTAGAACAGTGCCTGGCAATTTGTAGATGCTCAATAAATATTTATTGCATGAATGCATGAATGAATGAATAAACTTCATTTTCTTCTTTTGATTCAATCAAAAGTCTTTATTTTTGGCTTTAGGATCTAAGGGTGCCTCACCTTTTCCTGTGGTTTTGTTAGTACTTGCCTCTACTCTCTGTTCTCCTATTTTCCCTGCACAGTCCTTCTGTGTTACTAGAAAGGCAGACAGCATATTCTCCTTTATTAATCTTGGAACAGGATAAAAGGCAGGCATTTACTGGGCTCCCAGTAATTTCGAGAGGGCATGAGTCCCCTCTCTCCTCAGCACTCCTGCACACTTTGTACCTGTCCCTCACATGCTCGTGTGCTGCCTGGGTTTTGGCTCATCTTCTACTAATCTCCTGAAATAGACCGTGAGCACAGGTCTCACTCTCTAAATCCCCAGCTTGGTCATAGTGCCTGACAAAGAGTAGGGCCTCAGCAAGTGTTTGCTGAAAAAAGAAAGAATGAGCGTCTGTTGTCACTGTTTGTGCCTGTATGAGACTCTGCCCCCACAGGACAGCTTCTCCTGTGGGGGACCAAGCCTCCCTCACTGCTGAGATTCCCCTTGGGGGAACCGATGCCATGACCAAGTTGATCCTCAGTGTTTGTTCTCTAAACAATTTCTAGGCTGTTGTGGCCTTTTCTTCGGCTTTTAACCTTGAAAATGCTTTGTTTCCATTTTACCCCCTGAACAAATAACCATCTACGGGATCCTCACTGTTAAGCCCAAATTGTGGTAGGTTGAATAATGGCCCCCCAAATATACCCACCTCCAAAATCCTGGAACCTGTGGATACTGCCTTACATGGCAACAGGGGCTTTGTAGCTGTGATTAAGTGAAAGATCTTGAGATGGGGAGACTATCCTGATTGTCCTGCGGGCCCAATGTGATCACAATATTCTTTATAAGAAGAATGCAGGAGAAGATAGAGAGGAAGATGATATAAAGATAGAAGCAGCAACTGGAGTGACAAACTTTGAAGATGGAAGAAGGGGCCACAAACTAAGGAATGCAGGTGGCCACCAGAAGCTGCAAAAGGCAAGGAAAAGGAAAAGGATTTCCCCTCAGAGCCTTTGGAAGGAATCCGCCTGGTTGATTATGTTGACTTTAGCCCAGAGAACTGATTTTATAATTCTGGATTCCAGAACTATAGGAGAATAAATTTATGCTGTTTAAAGCCAGCAAATTTGTAGTAATTTGTTGCAGCAGCAATAGAAAACTATTACACTAAAAGAGCTTGTATTTTTGTTTCTTAGGGCTTATTTAATTATCCCAGGATTTATTGCAAAACTACATTTCCTGTGATCTGGATGAGAGAAGCCAGGAGGTGGCCCTCCTCTCTGGTTCTGATCCTCTCCTTGCTGTAGTTGTGGGTCTTGTTTTTTAACATGAATGACCTCCCTCAGCAGCCTCCTGCTGCCTGGCCATGTCTTCAGCTTGTCTCTGCCAGGCCACACTAGCAGCCTGACCACTCCATCCCTTCCTCTTCCTTCTGACTCTCGCCTTTCCTTTGTGTATTATGCGAAAATGTCATCCTTAACAAAGGATCTTAGCAGACAAATCTGGTTGCCTGGGGTGAGCTTTATGAGAGTACATTGATGGAGCACGTAACCCACTCCAAGCACTCAACACCATGGCCAAGGCAGAAGATTTTTTTTTCTTTTTTCTTTCTTTTTATTTTTTGAGGAAGATTAGCCCTGAGCTAAATACTGCCAGTCCTCCTCTTTTTGCTGAGGAAGCCTGGCCATGAGCTAACATCCGTGCCCATCTTCCTCTACTTTATACGTGGGATGCCTACCACAGCATGGCGTGCCAAGCAGTGCCATGTCCGCACCTGGGATCCGAACTGGCGAACCCCAGGCTGTCGAGAAGCAGAATGTGCGCACTTAACCGTTGTGCCACCGGGCTGGCCCCAAGGCAGAAGATTTCTTAAATTGGAAGTTCCTTGGTTTTCCTCTTCAGGGATTTTAAACAAAAGTATGTTGATGCTGCCTGATCAGAATTCCTCACTGAGCACTGCAGATGGGCATAAAGCAATGGTAACACTTTGCTTTTTGGAATGTCTTCAACCTTGAATTGCACAACAAAAATATAGCATGTAAAACCTTGCATGCTCCTGGCAATGTGGGACTGACATAGGCCTGATGGAGTAAGACTGTAAGGCAAGAGGCTGGAAACACCACGAGTGACCAGAGTTCGCCAGAAACAGTGTGTTTGGGAAGAGTCAAAAGAACAGCTTGCAAAGTCCTATTCCTGTCATCCTTCCCACACCCAGGGGAATCCTTTCTGAACAGTTATGTCTGCAGAGCTACACCAACTATGCTAGTTAAGTTTCCTACCAATATTTACAGCAGTAGCTTCAACTCTTCCCAAACAGCATCTGTTGTGGCACCGTCTGGGTTAGAGCCTCCAGAAGGTAGGAATTGTGAATTCACAGCTTGGGCTGTGGAGACAATAGGGAGTAAGTAGGGGCAGCAAATTCAATTTCTGAGAGAGAGTTCCACCTTCACAGATGGGGTGTGGCTGCCAGGCTGGGGCTGCGAGCCTCAGACATATAATAGGAGAAAGGCCGGCCTCCA